AGCCACTACTACGAGATACAAGCCTTGCAATTCCGAAGCTACCATGACTCTCTCTTAGTACAAGCACTGGAGATTTGGGCCGCTACATTGTAACTGGTGAAACGAAGCCGTCGACACAACCAGCCTAGTGTTATCATTTACTAGGCTGGGCTAGAGGGCCGTTCCGTTCACCAACCCAGTCGAAAACCGCAAAGTGACTATATCACTGTCACCCTTCTCTTGGTGAGCAAGCCGACAAGCGGTTTCCGTTGCTTGCCGCCATGACGGCCGTGCTCGTTGAGACTACCCTAGATTGACCAAAGCACAGATACCGATAACGTTTTTCCGCTTGGTAAGCGCCGTTACCTCATAGATGAGCGATCTAGTCCTGAGGATGCGCTACGATCATCGAAATATGCTCATAATGTCAAGGGGTCACCGTCCAAATCTCGAAGTCAGTGGACCAACCACATCGCTTGCTATGAGCTGTCAGTCGCCTCACGAAGGCGCTAGCTATGCACATCATATTTCGTGCTTTGGTCCCCACTCTCGACCTGGCGCACGCACGGCACACGCTACACCAGTGGACTCTGAAGCCTTTCTAGCAATAATCAAGCCTTCGCATCACCCGCTCGGAGTGGCCTGCTTCTATCTAGCCCGTCGTTCTATATGAATGAACGCCCAGAGAGGTCAGTCGACAGACTACACATGACAGAGACAAACTACCGTCCTCGGAGCCTCTGATCGCATGTGTTCTCGCCGTCGATTGTCTCGTAAGGCGATACACGTTTCAAGAAGAGCGCCGTACGATTAGAGCAATGACCTTGCGGAGAAAAAATAGCAACTTTGTTCAGGCGCCTCATGCAAGACAAGATTGAGATCTCATTCCGACGCCACGCGACGATCGCTGCAAGATCTCTGTTACACGACATTGCGCAAGCCACGTACAACGAACGCATTGAATTGCTTTCTCCATTCCACTAAAACAACGTATCCGCGTCTACCCGTGCTGCAGGTCCGCAACACTCAATTCAGATCTGACTACATAGTAACACGCGGCCGCTTTACAATAATGCCTTTGCGTTACAATCGTGAGAAATGGACATCGCACCAGTACCACGGTAGCCTCTTGAATGGCTTTCACTTGACCGTTTCGGGTCCGACACAAGTCTACAAGAGGCAACCCGTAGTATCATAAAATACCGAGCTTGCGGATGAAGCGGCGCACTACATTCCTTTTGGCTGACAGTCGGAAGACGACTCCCGACCAGGCAACTTGCACAGTAACCATCAGGAGCCGCATGCGGTTGGAAAGGCGGTCGGCGTTGATTATCAGCCTTGCCCGCCTTGCAGAGTCGCGCAACATATCTTCGCCTGTTTTTGCCCGAATAGACGTGTACGAGGCGCCTCGGCTGCCGTCTCAACGGACGTCCCGTCGTACAGGTAACGGCTGTCTCTCAGACGATGCTGCCGAGTAAGACGACGTGATGTCAGCATTCATTGTGTTTAGTGTTGTACCTGCCACCGCAGAACAGTCCTAGTCTTATCTCCAGCTGGTAATTCTCGCCGTCTTCACCGCTTGGTTCATAGATGGACGACTGATCGACCACTTCAAATGTGTGAACCGACGATCTGGCACGACGATGTGAATCTTTGTAAAATGTTTGAGTTGCAGCGCTATATGACTTGTAGTAAAAAGCAACGGCACATACAATATAAGCAATCTTTGTAGTATCCATGTTCACTTGTCCGGAAACAGGCGTCATGATTGATCTAACCATCACTGTTACAACGAAGCAAGTCTCCCGCGTAGACCACCACGCTGCCGATGTCTCTCATCTCTCAACTGGTGGTAAAGACGCTGATGACGATGTAGACTCTCATGATCAAATTGTTTCCCACGCTGAACCCTCGCACCTCTCGGAAACAACTAGCAGTGCATTAGCATGGAGTCGCACCAAGAAGTGCACCGGCTCCAAGGAAAGAGACAACAACAGTAGCGGTCAGGAATAACGAATAGTTTTTCAAGCCGTACTGACCGTCTTCTTGATGCGGACCAACAGCACACCCTTGGTGATGACACCATTTGAGTCGTATAAATGCAGCATGCGTAAACCCGTCTGCAGGCGGTCGAGACGGAAGCATGCCCAAGCCGCTAGATCGTCGCTAATCCTTTCGTCATCCATAACTTTGAACCTGGGAGAAGCATGTCAGCATGGCTCAACACCAAATAGCTAACAACCGGAGTCTACAAAAATACAAGCAGTGCTGTCAACAAAACAACAAAGCAATGACGCTGCAGTGATGCGAACGGGAATATCGGCGATCCGCAAGCCTGGTGATCCCGGTCGTGGCCCTGATCGTAGCTGCGTGCCACGACCGCTCACTCGAAATCTCCGTTTCGAAAGCTGTGGAACTAGCGAACCTCGCGTATGCAGAAAAATGATGCAGACTCATCCAGATAGGGTTGAAATACCAGCATTCGACCACCTTTCTCGGTAGACCAGTAAGGGCATCCGTGCATGCGAGAATGGTACTTGCGGCTCCCACGGCGACCTGCATGTACTTGACACGTAGCGAAAAAAAAAAAGATGGGACTTACCTGACAAATGTCAATTCTTCTGTAACGCCGGGTACACCAGCGAACTTGACAACTTCACCGCCAAAGTCGGGATCCGTGGTCCTGGTTGTCTTCGTCTTTTGCTTGTACTCGCCCTTCTGGCTTCTTCCATTTCCGGGCACGGGTTCAGCGTTGCGCTCCTCGTGCGACTCAACATGCAATTCAACCTTGACGTAAGGCTTGAGGTCCTTCGGGTCGTCTTCCTCAGGGGGCAAAGGGATGTCTTGTCCTGCGAGGAACTCAATGCTCAAATCGAGGTCGTGATGGGGTATCGCAGTCTTCTGTGTCGCTTCTTGGCTCGTGCTACGATAGCCTTCAGGCTTGAGAACCCAGCCACCTGTACCCGCGAACATGGCTTCGTTTTGCATCATTCCGCCGTCCCAGCGCTGCCAGTTTAGTGCTACTATCTGAACTCCAGCACGCCAGAAGACGGAAGGGTTCAAGTTGGACGAAGTCAGTCGCAAGCCCTTGGGGTAAGCGCGCATGAAGAAGTGCTTATTGTGTTCAAAGAGTCGTACAGGATCGGACTCGTGAACTTCCATCAAGGTTCCTTCAGATAAAGAGAAGACATGAGTAGGTATCTTGGCCTCTGGAGCGTCGAGAGTCTTGTATGAATAACCCCCCAAGTAAACACCCAATCGCGATAGCGCTTCAATGATCTTAGGTTTCGGCGCGGGGGGTTTCTTTTCTCCATCTGGGCCAACCTCGGATGACTCAGAAGTGCCAGAATCAGCGCTTGTGGTGTGCTTTAGTGGTGGTGCTGACGCTGGTGCGGCTAGCGTTGTAGGCTGAGGCTCGGCTGCGACTGGCTTCATGTGCCCACGTTTGACCTTGACCAGAATCTTATTTTCCAGCTCCTTCAAGGTCGGTAGATGAGCTTCATCTAGACCCTGGGCGGGATCTAGAGGTAGCTCAAGTAGCATGCCTTTCCAGTACTCGTTCATAATCTCTACCATAATCTCCTGCTGTTCTGGGCCAGTGTGTACTTCGAGACTGACTATCAGTGGCAGGTTTGATGCAGCAAATGCGTAATCCCTGATGGTGGCACATACAGCGCGGAAAGTCATATCCTTGGTCAAAGTGTAGCCGTGAAGTACCCTAGGTTCGGCCCTTGACGTGTATGAAGCAGAATGCCAGGGCTTGATCTTGTTATCTTCCTCCTGAGGCGGCTGGGATGTTTGTTCTTCTTTCTCCTCGTCGCCCTTCCTGCCAAACTTCAACCCTAGCCTTTTGCGGATGCTAAGCCCCGACTTGGATTTCTTCTTCTCTTTCCTTGCGTCATCCGATCCTGGGTTTCCCATGGCAGCTTCCTCGTCTGAACTGGAATCTGAAAGTTCATCTCCATCCCAGACATCAACCTCGACGCAACGGCATCCTCGCATCAAGACGTTCTTGTAGGCATCGACGCTGGAGTCACTCGACAGCTGGTTGCCGGTGAGGTATGTGTTGTGACTTGAAGAGATGAAATAGTTGGAGATTGGATACGACTCGTCTACAGGCTGTGCAGGTTTCAAGACACTTGCCGAGCCTGACATGAAGTAGTTGGCGAAGTGTGAGAAGGAGCCGTCGGCCAGAAGCTCAGCGTTCTGTCCTGAGCATTGCTGCTCCTCCGTCAGCCACTTCAATTGTCCTTCTTTTGTCGTCAAGTCGTATCGCTTCGTGATTTCGTCGTAGACTGCCTTGATGTATTGCGTAAGGAGCGGTGATAAGGCATCGACCTTGCGGGCTGTGGTAGAGGCCGATGCCGTACCACCACCGGCCTGAAGCTCTGGGTTAACGGCCTTGGGGGTGCCCAGCTTATTGTCTTTGGTGGGCGTCATGTTGCAGCGCGAAGATGTCAGAAGAGGCGGTGGTAGGTTTATAGGCGGCAGGAGAGTCTAAAGTGGCAGTGTGCCTGGATAATGGCTGAGCGCAGGCAGCTCAGCTCGCTGATGGGTGTTAGTGCTTCCTTGTGCAATTGGACGAGGATATGCGCAAGCAACCAACGTACTTGTAATCTAAAGTAGGCAGCTGTATGTGCAGCTTACTGTTGGACTACAGGCCAAGTGTGGAGTGGCAGCGGGATCTAGTTGTAGAGGTATGAGGAGGTGCGGCCCGCGACGTTGAAGCGGGCGCAATAGCCTCATGGTCAGCTCGTGCCTGCCTTGGCCTGCCGCACTGGCGTTTGATCATCCAATTGGTGGGGCGCTGACACGCAACACTCGACGTTTGCTGCACGCGCAACGTGAAAGAAAGGCGGGCTGCCCTGTTTGTGGTGCTGGGAGAATAGGGTCTAGGCTTGACATGTGCCGTTCCAGCCTTGCCAAGGCCGCCGACGTCACTCAGGGTCCAGCATCCTAAGATGCCATCGATGTATTGGAGACAAACATTTTCGACGCAAATCGCTAGGTGCACATTCACCATGGTAAAGTCACGAAAAGAAGCAGAAAGCCAAGTCCGTTCCTGGGGATTCGGTCACGTATTTACGTGGACTGATAGCCCGTAAGTCCATCACATTCCCACCACTGTGAATGCAGCCTGACTTTGTTGCAGCAACGCGCACTACTCGCCACACAAGCACAGCGGCAAGACCACACACCTCGTCCTCAATGGCTCCATAACATATACATATCCCGACGATCCTGATGCGAAAAAGGAAACAATAGGCCCTGGCGCAAGATGGGACGTAGATGCGAACAAGGTACACGAAGTATGGGTGGGAGACGAGGGATGTACATATGTCATTGGAGAATGAACAGACTCCACTCAGCCCAAGAAGCCATTCTGTCCCAGGTACTTGATCGCATCGAGTGCCAGTTGATCTGCCTTGACCAGCTCTTGCTCTACCATGCGCTCGTACAGTCCCGGTAGCTTCTCCTCTTCCTTTGGAGGATGCTGATATCTACATTTGCTAATATATGGGCATCTCCCGTTCCGCTTCCAATTCGTACACACACTCATACTCTTCGTTTCAGCTTTCTTCGGCGCTCGCGCAGGAGGTGGGACCTTGATGGGTGGCGGAGCAACCTTGGACGATGTGGTTTCGGGTGCTTCGTCGCTGTCGCCTGATTCCGACTCGGATTCGTCCTCTTCGGAACTCGATACCACAGATGACTCTGACAATACCGAACTCTCTGCCTCAGACTCCGTCTCGCTTTCGTACCCTAGGCCTAAATCTACTACGTTTGGCGTAGACTGCTTCTTCGTCATGCTCTCGTGAAGCTTCTTCCGCAACGCTGCAAGTTCTTCCTGCCTACGATTGTCGGCCTCCTTTTTTACCCTATCATCCTTCTTCACCCTGCCGTCCTGTCGATTCTCGCGAGGCTTCGTCTCCGGGTTCGGGCCGTCGTTCTTGTGCTCTCTGGGTGGCTTGCCACTTACTCTACGCAAGAAGTCAAGCTCGGCTGCTCGTTTCCTTGCAGCCTCTTCTGCCTTCTCCATGGCTCTCTGTTCCGTGGGAAAGTTCTTTCTTCGGTCTTTGATCCATGCCGCGACCTCTGCCCCTGTCTGTATGCTGATTGTCTCTCCGTTGTGCTCAAACGCGAACCCTCCACCCTTGAGCTTTTCCGTATATGCGGCTTCTTCGTCAACGTCCTCCTCATCGCTACTCTCATCCGGGACCTGCTGGTGTGACAGTCCTAAATTGACCTTGCGCTTCTTGTTGTCCGGTCGTACTACGGGTGGTGGAGGGAGAGAGAAGCCGAAGCTAGGGACCTGTGGGGGTACCGCAGCCTTAGCCCTCGGTGGCTTCGAACTTGGCTGCGGTCCGTTCGACTGGGATTTTGGGTTGTTGTTCCGATCGTTCAACTTTCTCTTCTGACCGGCGTGTTGCTGAGGCGAATACCGCGGGCTTGATTGGGTCTGCTGAGACGGTGAGGACTGGGGAAAGGAGGAGCTGCCCGTGCTCGTCATATGGTTTGCATATGCGGCCATTGACTGTACGCCGCCCGGTGTAGACATGTATGACATGACCTGAGCGAGGGCATTAGGGTCATACTGTTGCGCGCCGCCAGCGAAGGTAGAATTGTTGTTGCCATTTGCAGAAGCACTGTCTGACGGCGCATTCGTCTGGTACTGCCCGTTGCCAGCATTATGCCCTCCTCGATGATTTGCGCCGCCCCTGTTGTTCTGATAGCCGCCTCTTTGACCGCCTCTGCCACGCGCATCTCCCCGTCCGCGGTTCTGTCCATGGCCGCCTCTGGCGTTTCCACCCATGCTGTTGAAGCCACCTCCTCGATGCTGATTTCCACCTCTCCCGCGACCTCTATCACCACCTCCTCGGGCATGGCTACCTCGTTGACTCGCGGATGGCTGCTCGCTGGATGTAGCCTTCGGCGGCGGTGGAGGAGGTGGAGGGAACCGGAACGACATTGTGTTGTTCGTGTATTTGCGTATCGTGTGATTCGAAGGCTCAAAGTATTACAATTATTAATTACCAGAGAACGTACATGATGTGGTATAAGTCGCGAAAAAGGCAGTCGAGAGAGATGCGACGCGCCTCGGGGGTCCGCAGACCAAAAAGTTCCTTATCGATATTACTAGCGCGGCGCTAGCCGTCACTCAGAGGAGTCTCGCGACTGACTCTACTGTTTATATCCACCATGTCTAGGTAGCGGCCGACCCTTTACTTTTACATCCATGAAGCCTCCGAAACTGCGATCATGTTCATACTTGTAAGTCTCTGCCCGACCCGGGGTCTGATACGTCCTCTTTGCGCTTTCGCGCCGCTTGACAGAAAATTTGAGCAGCAAGAAAAGATGAGAGCATTGGACGCGACTACGCGTATACCGAGTCGTTGATGATCGCGTTGTGTCATAGTGTGGACTCGCTACTAATCGCACTGTAGACCACGATTCAAGACTTGATACAGATCAAGCCGCAAGACTTTGAGAAGCCTAGCGCACAAGCCATCAAAGATGTAGTCAACGACAAATACAGCAATAGGATAGTTCCCGGCATTGGTCTTTGCCTCTGTATGTGGGACCTCGTTTCAGCGACCGAGGGCTTGATCGGTCACGGGACAGGTCTTGTTAATGTGAACAGTAAGTCCAATTTGACCCATCAGGTAATCTGTTCTCACACCCAACTCAGTCGAATTCCGCATGACCGTCTTCCGTCCTTTCCGCGGCGAAATTCTTTATGGACGGATAAAGTCTTCCAACGAAGAAGGCATCATCATTGACCTGGAATTCACGTCAGAAGTCTTTGTCCCCTATCAAAACCTACCAGAAAACTCGTCCTTCTCCAAAGCTGAGATGGTCTGGATCTGGAACTCTGAAGGCACTGAATTGTTCTTCGACAAGGGCGAGCCAGTTCTATTCAGGGTAGAGCATGAGGAATGGTATGATCAGAGGCCGACTATTGTCGAAAAGGATGAGAAGGGTGAGATCATTGAAGAGAGACCGACAGCTTGGAAGATCATTGTGAGTTAATCCGAGTCATGAAATTCTTGGGCGTGTCTAATACCCTTGACAGGGCTCGATGGGCCAACCTGGTCTCGGGCCAACACTCTGGTGGGCCGAAGGTGGAGAAGAGGAAGAGGGCGAAGAAGGTGATGTTGAGATGGAGGGCGCCGAGGAATGATGCCTTCCAGCCAGACATCGAATGCTGCATTTTAAGGCTGAAATCATAGCTGCCTCAAAAATGCAGTCTGATTTTGGATTACCGAGCTTCCACATCCGAAGCATGGTTACCAACATTCATAGGAAGGCTCCACACTCAACAACCATCTATTGCAGAACCAAGGTCAACTTTCGGTGGCCTCTTTTGATACATTCCGTAAGACTCCTGAAATCGACTTTGCTAAGAGGCTGGATCGGTGACATCATCACCTCGCTTAGCGCCTTTGCGTCTTCACCAGGGCATCCGCCGCATCAGCGTGTGCATCTATCTTAGCAATCCATCAACATCTTGCAACAATATAACATTCTGTGCCACCCATCTCCATGCCAATGTTTCGGGAAATATAAGAGTGGGGTTGCGGTGACAGTTTAACACATTTCAGGCAGGTGCTATCGATCTCGACCCAATCGGACCAAAAGTCCACGATGGTGCGATGCCCAGCCTCAACTCCGTGATAAGATGCCGTCACTGGCAGTGGAGTTCATATGTAAAGGCGTCTCGGTTTTCAAATGTGGGTGTTGCATGATATCAGTGTCTTCATAATGTGGTTCACTACTCTTTTCTGCGCTGCTGTCTTGACAGCAACGACCATAGCGAATCCCATATACGCGACGAACGGCACCAACACAACCTATGTTGGCCCAGAAAGTGGTCATCTCGTGATCGTTGGAGGAAATTTACAAAGCGAGAGCATCTACCAGCGCATCATCTCCCTCGCTGGAGGCCCCAATGCATCCATCGTAGTTGTTCCCACTGCCGGCGGCGAAGATACCTATGACCAGAACTTTACCACAGCCGTGGCTTTCCGAAAATATGGTGCCAACAATGTAACCGTCTTGCATACGTATGACCCCGCCGTCGCCGATACCGACGAGTTCATCGCTCCTTTGTTGGGTGCCAAGGGTATCTTCTTTGGTGGTGGACGACAGTGGCGGTTGGTTGATGCATACGCTGGAACCAAGACTGAAGTGGCTTTTCAGGCTGTTCTGGATGCAGGGGGTGTTATCTCAGGATCGAGTGCTGGCGCGAGCATCATTGGCAGTTTCCTCGCACGCGGTGATACAGCGAATAATACCATCATGATAGGTAGGTCGCTGATCATGCTGTAATCTACCAGCAATATATCGTCACAAACGAAACTAACGCGGCTCCTCTAGGTGATCACACTGTTGGCTTTGGATATCTCAAGAACTCAGCCATCGACCAGCACGTCTTGGTACGCAACAGGCACTTCGACATGTTTGAGATTCTCAACGCCTACCCAGAGCTACTTGGGCTGGCGATTGACGAAGACACTGCTTTAGTAGTCAACAAGAACGAGCTGGAAGTCATCGGCAGCACGTATGCGCTGATCTACGACGGCGGCTTTTGGTCCAGGGAAGGAAGCTGGGAGAGGCCTCTACCACCGCCCAATGCGAGGTTCTACTTCCTACGGGAAGGCGATAAATATGATCTCGGAACAAGAGCAGTCATTGAGCCGGAAACGACAGGCGGTGGTGACGATGTATGACGAGGTGTTGTGGGCAGCTAAGAAAAGAAACACTGTCATATTTTCAAATGAAGACCTGCAAAGCCAGCTTCAATGTACACGTTAAAATCGAATCTGTGTCGGAATCTCGAGTGATGGACCTTTGAGAATCTGATGCTTCGCCGGTTTCGCAATTAGTGATCATCTGCGGAGGTTCATCCTGTTCTTTCAACTGCCGTCACACATGTTTCGAAAAGGTATGCTTTCATCGAATATAATGTTTGCGACCACAATTGCATTGGTGAACGGAAACTCAAGTAATAGATTCTCATTGCATTAATTTTCAGATAATGCAACCATGATGAGAGGGAGAGTGAAAGTTCAGGACATGCCGCTAGGTATGTTTGGATCGTACCTCGGCATTTTTCGGCTCTACCGAAAAGGAGCGGAGCACTCTTGCAGACGGCAACGGCGTCAAAGACGCGACTTGTGGTATCATCATCTGTCTCGTTTTCTCAAGTACAGAATCTCATTCCTTACTCGGAAGCGACATCTTGGAATATTTCCATCTTCGCCAGCTACCCTTAGAACAATTGCGTGTTGAAGATTACTTCACCATGTCCAGCCCCTTCGATGTCATTGCAATCATCACTCCCAAGCCCGGCAAGGCAGATAGGGTATGCCTCGAAATCAGCACCAACACTATCGTTCCAAACAAGCAGCTGATGTTTTCTAGGTCGAAGAGCTTCTGACAACCGCAGCCAAAGCTGTAAAGGCGAACGAGCCTGGTACGCTCCGGTATCATATACATCGTCAAACCAAGGGCGATGCGCCAATATTCGTGATGCTTGAAACGTAAGCTCTTTTTTTTTTTTGGTATCTGAGCAGGTTCAAAGCTGACGATCGTTAGATATGCAAACAAAGCGGCTCTGGAAACACATGGAAAGAGCGAGGACTTCAAGAAATTGGGAAAGACAATGAAGACGGAGGATCTGCTCGCGGAGCCGATGAAAGTGCTCTTCACTAAAGAGGCAGGCGGATATGCTAGCAAACTATAAACTGTGTTACAGAAAACTCTAGCATCCTGTAGCGAAAGAGTCGAGGACGTCACGAAGAATTTAGAACGAGAACGTTGCATGGAAGATCGTGGTGTCGTGTCACTTGAAAAATGCTAATGACTATTCAGGTGAAAACCCTCCTTGTTTACATCGTCAACGTTCACGAATTCTGAACGCACATCTTCTCAAAAATTTTGTACTAGTGTACCGCGCTGGCAGTAGTCTAAATGTCGTAAGGCGAGATCTGCTGCACCTTTGTATTTTCTGATTGCCTCAACTTCCAAGCCACATAGTACTCCTGGAACTTCTCTTTATTGATCTACTTCATAACCCACTCCTTGCCTCGATTTGAAGGTAGCTACCCATCGGAGTGCATACCTTGAGACTCTTCCCCGAAGACACGCATGAGATGATGCTGGTGGTATTCGACAAGCGCGTGAACATGTTCAGGGAGCAGCTTCTTCTTGTCTTTGCGCACGACGACGACAGCGCCAACGGATGTCTGCCATTCCGGTGGTGCAAACCCCCAGTCGAAACCGGATCGCTTGCTCTGGGGCTTGCAGCCGATATTCAGGAAAGTGCCCGCTGTGTTGACCCAAGGGAACTTGCTCGAGGATGACTCCGAATGCTTCTGCCATTTCTTGACACTTCCAGGAATGCGCTGAACAACCAGAGGGATTGCGATGTGCTTGGAAACGTCGGTAGCTGTTTGTTCAAAGATACGATGGAAGGCAGGAAGCTCTATGGGCTCGTAACGAGGACGACCGTCGGTATCGACGTCGCCATTGCAGTTGATGCGCACGCCAACCACATTACTCAATTCTGGCTGTAGGTCCTCAATCGTTCGGAGATTTCCGTACTTGAGATAGTAAGTGTTGAGCCAGTGTGCGAGAATCCGAAGGTCGCAGGGGCCGAGATCTTGACTGTGGGATGGGTTGTAACTGTGGGGAACGTCGTCGAAGACGTCAGTGCCATAGGCGATCATAGGACCTCTCCAATCGTGCAGGTGAACAGAGTTGAGATCAACGATCTTATCGCTGGCTTTGTTGTGCGTGGATCCGTCATGAAGAAAGTCTTCGCGGGAAGACAAAAAGAGGGTGTATGGAAGTAGGCGGGCGAGAGCGTAGTTGTGTCGGATTTGCGTATTTGTCATATGAATGAACTCTCCGGACTCGGACTCCATCTTGTTTATAGCTGCAAGTGGACCAGGAAAAACGCTAAGATAGCTACACCCGTACTCTCCCATCTCATCCTTAGTCTTGAGCCATATGAAACGTGGGGCGTCTTCGTCGGGGTGGAAATAGATAGCTCGAGTGTACTTCTCACCAGAGTGTTCGGCTTTGGGGCAGTCTTGAAAGTCTTTGAAAGTTTTGCAGAGAATTCTGTGGAGTGGCCATGCCTTCTTTTGGCACTCTTTGGAGCAACAGCAACTCGCGCTGCAACCATTGCAACGCAGAGCGCCTTCGTTGTCGCACTCGTCGCACAGCGTCATGTTTTCTTCGCTGTCGCAGACCGAAGTTGAAGTGATCTCCAGATTTGTTGAAGGAGGAGTATATGTGAAGGGTGCAGTGCGCTGACAGTTGGAGCAAACAAAAGCGATGGTCCGAGCGCAAGTTTGATATGAAGGTGAAGGTGAGAGGAGTAAACATACGGGAATGCAAATGCATGTAGAAGGAGTCATTAAATGACGTCTCTCCACAAGTTCCATTACATTATAAACGGTAGCTCATTTACATAGTGTTCTGTAGATCTGCAGGCTCCTCTGCATACTCGCTTCCATATCCTCCGTACCAGTAATCACCAACACCCTTTACTCCCTCAGCAGTGCGGTTAGCAGGCGGCTGAGGCCACATGTCTAGCATAGCTTGCTCGCCGGTCAAAGTGAAGTTGATACTTGCAAGCGGGTGGTTGTCGATCAACAAGGTGTAGTCACCAGGGTAAAGGACCTTGTTACCCATCTCGTCGACCCTGGCAAGAGATGCAAGAGTTAGGTTGAGAGTTGCAGTGTCAGAAGCTCCACCGGTGATGTTGTGGAGACGCTTGTAAGAGACAAGCGACTTCTTTGGATGAGGCGCAGGACCAAATTCTCCGGCAATATAACCAAGAGCGACGTAGTCGGATGTGACGTCGCCGTCGTTGGATACTTCAACATCTACAGCAGCGAATGGGCAACGCTCGAGGAACCCTCCGGTACTGTTGCAGTTCTGTGTAAGCGCAGAGATTGCGTAGCTGTTCTGCATTTGGGTGGTGATGTTGGCAGAAAAGTTGGTGTAGTGCAGACCGTGACCGAACTCGTAGACAGCACTTCCATTGTACCACTTGTAGGTGCGGCCAGGGTTGTTTTCACCAGGGCGCATGTTCATGTCCATCATAGAGACCTTCGCGATGTAGTTGGAGGGGTACTGAGTCGTAGGTAGACGTCCAGCAGGAGCAGTCTTTCCGGTGACAATATCGATGATGGCCGAGCCTCCATCCTGACCAGGGTACCCAGCCCAAAGGATGGCGGAGATGTTGGGATTGTTCACGAGAGGAGTGCTATCGATCTGACCTCCTCCAGTGACCACAACGATGACTGGCTTTCCTGTCTCAGCAAGCTCGGTGATAACATCAAGCTGGGCTCCAGTCCATGTGAGGTATGTACGATCCTGGTCTTCCTCCTCAACGCTGTTATCGATACCTCCAACATACATGAGAATGTCGCTAGTAGAGTAGGCGCCGTAAAGATTGGACCAGCGGTTTGTCGTTGGGTCACCTTGGCCGCCAGGATTTCCTCCAGCATAGTTGATGGTGACGTTGAGCTGCTCCAGGGCGTACAACGGAGAGTGCAGGTACGTAGAGACACCGGCGTAGTTACCAAGGAGCTGAGAGGTTGCGTTTGCCCAGTCACCGAAAAGACCAATCGATGTGGACGAATCGAGTGAAAGAGGCAGCGTACCATCATTCTTCAGCAAAACGATACCCTCAGCAGCGGCTCTGCGGGCAAGCGCCTGCGAAGCATTCGTGGCGACTGAGTCCCATCCAATCTGGCGGTAAGGCTGGTTATCGGGAGAGTCAAAGTAGCCCAGGCGGACAAGCGATGAGTATTGCCGGACGAGGGCCTGGTCGAGGACAGATTCTTCAAGCAAACCTTGCTGGAAGGCAGCGGGCAGATGTTCCTGCATGTAAGTACCGCAAGTGAGATCGGTACCAGCTTTCAAGGCGTCGGAAGCAGCACCTCCACGAGTTGCAGACCATTCATGAGGCAAGTAAACGTTCTGAACGGCGTCACAATCGGAAGTAACCCATTGCTCTTCATTAGTCCAACCCCAGTGTTCACGAAGAATCGTCTGAAGTAGGTAGGGATCGGCGCATGTTGGCACACCATTAACCGCGTCTAACTTCTCTTAGTTCCAAGCATACACACAACGAACGGTTGACGTCAGACTTACTGTAGCTGCACATGAAAGCACCCACGTTCGCTTGAACGCAGGCCTGGAAGGGAACGAGGTAGTACTCAACAAGGTCCTGCTGAGAAATCTGCACATCGTTCTGGTAGCGGAGGTTTCCGTTCCAGTCCTCAATATCATAGCCAGCGAAGTGCTTGCAAGTTGCGACGACACGTTTGTATTTGTCAGACGCATCGCCCTGAAGTCCGTGAACCAAAGCCTGGACGTAAGAAGACAAATGGTAGGGGTCTTCACCAGGTGTTTCTTGACCACGACCCCAGCGGGGATCACGGAAAGGGTTGATGTTGGGCGTCCAGAAGTCAAGACCAGTCCTGTTGGCGTTGTTGAACGCACGCGCTTCGGTTGAGATGACCTTTGCAACCTCGGTGATCAGATCATCGTCGAAGGCCGCACCCATCAAGATGGGCTGAGGAAAAGAAGTCGAGTAGCTATACTCTCCCTCATCGCTGAAGTTGGTGTAAGGACCGGCAATACCATGAAGACCCTCGCTCCACCACTGGTAAGGCGGTATACCGAGACGAGGGACACCTGGAGAGCCACTGCTCGTAGCATTGATCTTCTCCTCGAGTGTGTAAAGAGCTACGAGAGACTTCGCGCGAGCCAGCGGTGCTGAAACAAGTTAGTATTATAAGGTCGATGTAGCAGCAAATAGATCAACGTACATGCTGAAGCATCGCAAATGGTCTCATTGCTCAACCTTCCACTGGTGCAGTCAGGGAAAACGAATTGAGCATAAGCTCCTGTCGCAGCGACGAGCAACACTTGCAGCGAACGCGTCGAGGTGAGCATGATGCCGGTTGTCTGGTTCGGATGGTCCGGATACTTCTCTTTCACATCTCTTCACCACATATCTTATAGCAAACTAAATAGCCGTAGTCGGTGACCCTGCGTCAGCACACGGTTGGTAAAGACATAAGCCCACGATGTCTATACGTCATGGTTATGATGGCCACGCGGTTGAGTACCGGTCGCCAGTCCACTTATTTCCGACCACCGAGCCACTCTTGTGTCCGAAGCCACTCCCGATGCTTGGCCCAGAGGCATACGGCAGCCAAGAGTATACCCGAGCCGCATGCGGAGCCCCATGGTACTTGCAAAGTCTGTGAGGGGTTTGCGCTAAGTGGAGCTAACTGCTCTCCGATTGGCTGCGCATTCAGGCTGAATGGAAATCCACGACTGTCAGCGGTAGGCAAGGCACGGCAACAAGACCTGGACGACTTCGGTCAATATTGAGAATACATGACAAGCTCGCATAAGCATCGGCCGAAGAATTGCAAGGGATGCGCTGATGCGGGGTGCGGGGTGACTGAATAACGGGATGGAAGCATGGATCATATTTGCTTATGTCTCAACAATAGTAATTTCCGCATGTTTCGTCATAATCGCTCAGTGGCTCACAACTAAGACCTGCAATATGGTATTGACCGTATAACTGGCCGCGGAATGCATTGCCAACTCCCGAACGTATCTCAACCTTACTACACTGTCGAAGTCTTGCGAATCATCTGTACATCCACCAGTTTTGAACCGATATTCGGTCCGAGACGATCCGTTCCCCAACTTGCAAGTGAGCTCGTATCTTCACCCAGAATCTTCTGGCTGTCTTTGTGCTCAACTTGATGGATTCTGTCCTTCAAACCTTCGGCTGTATATCGTATCTCGAAACCTTGGAGAATGTGAGTTACCGGGATGCCCGTCTAAGATGGCTGTCTGCATCCAAGATCGGCAGTATTTGATACGACTACGAAGGCCAGTTGGATCTCTTGACTGTCATTGGCATGCCATCGCGTGGTTTCGCTTCGAACACGAACTCTTGAAAGGCGCGGTCGCCGAACGTTAAATCCAGGTCGAACCAGTCCACTCGAGGCGTCTTGTTAGGTTTCAAATCTGCGCATGTAAAGTCGAAATCTCGTATCGTCAACAAGAACGTGATCAACAACTCGTCCATAGCCAGAGGTTGACCAAGGCAGGCACGTGGACCTCTTTCAAATGGACGCCATGCGTGACGCGGGAAATCTTCTCGTGCATATCGATCGGGGTCAAATTTGAGCGGGTCTAGGGACAGGTTTCAGCAACTGAATACGCACCAGGTACGAAGCTTGACAGGTGCTACTTACCTGGAAATATCGCAGGATCCATGTGCATAGCCAGTTGGACTGGGCAAATCATGATATCTTTGGCCGGCCACTCTCGGCCCTGGTACTTAAGAGTATCAATGCCCTTACGCGCAGTGTTGCCTATCGGGAAGAATCGGAGGATCTCCTTGACAACATGGTTTGTGTACGTAAGCTCGTTCACTCTATAAGGATCCGTTTTCAGCATCTCGTAAGTCGCCTCAATACCAGGGGTGAAGACGCGGTCGTGCTCTTCTCGCATCTTTTGAACTACTTCAGGGTGGACGCTGAGCATCATAGCTCCAAAGCAGACGGTGTCAGACGTAGTTCGCTTCCAGCGATCAATAGCGTTTTAACTTGCGATAGAGCATCTTGGACAAATTGGTGGTCGAGCTCCTTCACGTCGTTCTGTCGCTCTGCAATATAATCTCGCAAGATGAGATCCATGATTCCTAATCCTCGCTTTTCGGAGAGATCGAGCTTATCGCCTGCGAGCTACACGTCAATGATGTACAGTAATGCTCCAATACATCTATTACTTACGTTTTACAATCTCGAATCTCTCTTTGATGAGATCTACTACGATGGCATCTAACTTGTCTCGCTCGGCCGAAACTTTTCTGTTGACAAAGAAGTTCCGGATGTAGTTGACAGATTCTCGCGATGCCATGTAAGCACGACACATATTCTCAAAGTGCTGCAGAGCAGGGCTGCCCTTGGTTTGTGCGTCGAGAGATCGCCCAAAGGTCGCAGTCGAGATCACATCGAACGTCAAGTGTTGAGTAGGGTCTTCCAATTTGAAAACCTCTCCAGATCTGGCCTTCTCGTGGATAATCGACCGAAATTTCATCACCTCGTCAGCAACCATTGGTCTCATGTTGGTAATGTGCGAGATGGCGAAAGCAGGACTCAGCATCCTGTGGAGATGCTTCCACTGCGGCCCATTCGCTGTGACAATGTTCCCACGACCAATCAATGGATCAATCATTTGGCCCTCTGCTTCGTGTTTGGGGTGGTTTCGAACGGCTGTCATCTCAAGTGCGACATCTGGATCTGTAACAACAATCTGTCCCCATGCGATGGGCCACAGATCAAGATAGAAGAGACCAGGCATGTTGTATTTCCTGGCAATTGTAACGGCCGCTGCCTGGTAATGAACGTCGCTTGGCAGTGACTTGAAAGTCTCGCCTAGCAGTTTGAGATGACCAAAGAAAAAACTGTGAGGCGGCTTGGGCTACATGGATCGTCAGTGTCGCCTCGATAGCAGTCCGCAATGGATACTGTCCACGTACAAGGTCCTTGTAGAAGTGCCGTACTTGAATCAGCCTCATCGTCCCGTACGCGAGCGCCGCGACGACACCGGAGAAGAGTATTGTCACCCATGGTAAGTCGCGGAGAGCCATGATGAAAGCCTAGAGGTTGAGGCTCACTGAGCTTGGGGGCTCCAATGTTATTGAGGTCTTGCGATTCAGTAGGTCTGGGCCCCGATCTTGGTGCCATGGATGCAAGTGATCAGCACTAAGCAACTAGCGCATAGTTGGACGCCTACTGTCAATGTGGAAGCGCCTCATCGCCTGATGCGGCCATAGATGCATCAGCTAGGCTATCATGTGAAACATCGAGAATGAATCGTCGTGTTGGTGGTGGTATCAAGCCTTGATCAGAAGAAGTCAGTGTTGTTGAGTTGGGTCATGACTGCTGCCTCACAACGTGCAGGTGTTTCTTCGGCCATGCCTCACGCACTAGTAGTTCAAGTGCGACCTGACCTATAACTCGTTCATCTCTTTGACAACCATGATTTATCACTAGCACACTTATCTTTAACACTTTGGTATCTCAATGATTCAAAGTCATCGAATCCGAGCATGCAAACGCTAAGCGTAGCATATTGTCACGCAGAATATCATGACGGTGTTCTTCCTTGGTTGCGTCTCTAGCGTGGTCGTAGCAGTTGAGGCAACCGACTACCGCAACCGCGTCTCCAAGCGTCGCACAACAATTTTGAGTTCTGCCTCTACTTCTTTTTCATGTTTGCTCACAGCTGAATTATTGCTATGTTCATGCCTGAAGGAGTGGTATCGAGGCATCCCGTTGTACGCATACCTACCCCATCAGCAATCACGTCACGAAAAACGCGTAACCGGCGCGTCGCCGCGCTACTTGAATATCAGGCATCCAACCTTCGGACACTAAACCGGACTCATATCTCATGTTCGGTCTATAGTATCTCATGTTCGGTCTATGGTATCTCATCAAACGGTATCTTCTCCTTGGCTGCGACGCGCATCTTGCTGTCCAGCAGCGACATGAGCACTTGATCTGTGCCCTGCTTCAACCACGACGCGTCGTGCGCGAGCGCGGTGTGAACACCAAAATTGGTTTCCAGCTGTCGTATCTTGGCAATGGTGTCTTTCGCAGAAGTGAGGTCTGTATGAAGAGACATGCTCACTGCCCCTGGTCCCTGAAACTCCGCAATTTCTCGTAGGCCGTCCAACAAATCCCTAACCAGTCAGCAAGCGCCCGATCGTAACAACCATGACGGTCAGCATACGCCCAGCCTATCCTAGGACAACGTACCGCGAATGACAGCCTAGTTTGCAAGGTTAGCGAAGGCCAATGAAAACAACGCGACGCAACGTACAATCGCTACCAAGCATCACCCACTCGCCGCCTTGCAGTCTTGCTGCAGCAGCCATATTGCCTGGCATATGACCAGGCGCATCGAGGACCCAGAAACTGCCGTCACCAAAGTAGTCCAACGCTCTCTCAAACGGGCCAAAAGGTCTCCATTCACCTTGTAGCTCGTCCCATTTTTCGGTCGAATGCTCCGGGTCGAAGAAGCGGCCATCCCACTGCAGACTTGGATCCTTCATATGCCCTGGCTGGCATGCTGCCCTTGTTCCTGGACCGAAGTACGCCTTCGCATTCGGAAATACGTCGCTGATGGGTCGCGAGTGGTCCCAATGAGCGTGACTGTCTTCTGTTCAGCGAACATGAGCCACATTCAACCTTGAGCTCATACCTGAACAATACGGTATCAATATCTTCTGCGGACACCCCTCTTTCTGATAACTGCTGGACGATGGTCCTCCGAGGTCCAACGTGATTGACATGCTCTAGCATGAATTTGTTAACCCATGGAGTATAACAACTTCGGTCCTTCAAAAACAAATCAGTCACAAGAAAACTTCGGTGTTTCTCTTCGCCTCCAGTCCACGTACCTCGTCCAATCCAAGATCCCAAAGTATATGTCTTCCCTGGTGCGAGACATAGAATGCCCAGTTATACATGCGAAACGTACCGTTTTCGCCAGCATGCATACGGCTCAAATCTCCTAAAAAGCTGCCGCCATCGAGAAGAGCAAGTTCAACGCAGGCATCGGTATGAGGTAGGTTAGCCTTCATAGCTGGGATCAATGGTGCAAACAGCTGGCTGCATATAACATGGACGTGGATAATTCCTTTTCTAGCCGTATACGTGCTGGCTAACTGCCCAGCTCAAAGCCCAGACTACGATGTCACAAATCACGATATTCTCGTAGATGCGAGACCTAATCGTTGAATTACCCCCACATCGCGCAGACCTCTGGTTGCTGGTGATTGCCCCACTGCTTGAGTGGCAGAAACAGGTGCGGGGTAATTTGTCGGGTCTTCGTTACCCCACGGAACTATTTGCATACGGACAGCTCCAAGGATACGTATCCTTACGCCGCCGATCCAAGAATACGCTAGAATATACTAAACACTTTGGTGATCCTTGGATAACCGCCAATTTTCTGTTTCGCACCATCTCTTCTCACGCAACGGCTAACATGTCGGCAACTCTCAAACACGAACACCTGGGTGAATTGAAGGGCAAGAGTGTGGATGGGATAGCACAGTTCCTTGGTCTGAAGTATGCTTCGATAAAGGATCGCTTGGCCGCACCTGAGCTTGTTGAAAACTATGGAGCTGGCGCTACAGACGCTTCGAAATTTGGGTATGTCGGCCATGGAAATTTGAACATCAATGCTGATTGAAGTAGACCTCCTCCAGTGTCTCCAATTGGTGCTATTGAACGTGAATTTGGTTTTATCCAGAAATCATTGCCACTCCCAGAGGTTCCTGCGCATTCCGATCTCGAAGGCTTGAATCTCAATATCACTGTGCCAACGAACAAGGATGGCGCTATTGACCCGAACGCGAAGCTTCCTGTCTTTGTCTTCATTCATGGAGGCGGATTCGCTGTCGGAAGTAGTTGGTACCCGCACTATGACCCGGCTCCCATAGTTAGGATGTCTGTCGAGAAGAAGAAACCCGTCATTGGTATCACCATAAAGTGAGTGTACTGGTGTTCTACAAAAGTTTCATACAGGTGTTGATATATACAGCTACCGACTAGGTTTCACAGGCTTCGCAACTTCCGAAGAACTGCGCAAAGCAGGTTACAAAGCAAACAATGGCTTTTACGACCAGCGTACAGCTTTTCAGTGGATCAAAAAGTTCATAGGCGGTTTTGGAGGTGATCCGGATGAGATCACTGCATGCGGAGAGAGCGCCGGCGGATGTATGTGGGCGAGAATATCGACGTAGAAGCTTGACTGACATGTGCAGTATCTGCGACAGTCTTACTTTGCTCCAAGGAGCCGCTGATGAAGCGCTGTTTGAGCACTGGAGGAGCCGTACTACTTTTCAAGCCTATCCCGGAATTTGTGGCAGAGTCATCGTACCAACAAGCCATAGACGCGTTTGGTCTGAAAGACAAGTCACCAGAGGATCGTATCAAGGCCCTTTTGAGTATGCCTGTGGACGACCTTTGGCAAAAGGTTCCCCCTACAGCGCCGATGCTACCTTCTATCGATGGCGTTACTATGCCTGGTTCACCCGACTTCCTTACGGTTTCATCTCAGGAGGATAGCCCAGCCTTTATGATGCCAGGTAGGAGGTGGTGCAAGGCTTTCATGATAGGAGAGTCAAAACTAGATGTAAGTATGACCATTTGGCACTTGCGATAAATGAGCTGATCATATGTAGGCCAACATCCTTGCATATCTAGGTCTCGATGGCCGCAACCCCGGCATCGCACAAAAGTTCATCGACTCCTGCAAGGCTACACTATCCAATCATCCGGATGTAGCGGAACAACTTCTCAAAGCCTACAGTATCACTCCAGAGACCCCAGACGACGAAGGCATTCTTTCGATTCTGCGTTTCGCCTCCGAAATCTCCTTTTATGCGCCTTCTCGTGCCTTCGCTAAAGGCTGGCCCAATACCGCCGACTCAAAGTTCTTCCTCTACCACTTCAATGAAGGTATACCTTGGGAGGGTCGTTTTCAGGGTGAAGCAGGCCATATTCTCGATGTCTCATACCTCTTCCAGAACTATAACGACCACCTGGACGATGCGCAACAGAAAGTGGCACGGGAATATGGAGAAGACTTCATCAAATTCGTCAATGGAGAGGATCCTTGGCCGCCTGTGCAGACTGAAAAGCTGAGTGCTAAAGTGTACGGACCGAGTGCTGATGGTGTTACAAGTAGGTGGGTTCCGGATGGTGATCCAGCGAAGATTGGAAGAGACGACAGAATCCTGAAATTGGGAGAGATGGCAGGATTTGATACTATTCAGGACGTTTTTCAGAACTTTTTCCAAGGAAAATAGGTAATGTGAAATACATATGGAAGCCTCAGCACACGCATCGCGACAAGATCATATTCAATTCGATATTACAATGCTTCAATCAGCAAACTCCCAGGATCCATTTTCCTGCTTCTTCGCTTTGTCCTCGTGCCCTTTCGGCAACACACCCCCAACATGCAAGTAAATGCTACTACCGTCTCTATCTATACACCTCTCATCCTTCGCCGCACCTTCCCAAACCTCCAACGCTTTCTCTGCCATACTAGGTCTAATGCCCACCTGATTCGCGCTCTCAATACCCAGTCCCAAATCCTTGAGCATCATCTGCGTCTTGAATCCTGGCCTATACCCACTGTTGCTAGGCACCCAGTATTCGGTTTGTACATTGGGTATGGGCATGACATGGTCGCACATCCAAGACTGGCCAGTACTGTTCTTGATCACAGAGTATAGGGCAGCGGGGTCAAGACCATGGGATACTCCTATTGCGAGGGCTTCGGCGGTTGCGAGAAGAACAGTGCCAGAGAGATAGTTATTGCATATCTTTGCAGTTAGGCCTGCGCCGAGGGTATCTAGGTAGAAAGCTTTTGATTTTGGACCAAGCATGGACAGCGTCATTTGTAGTCGGGTATCTGAAGAGGACAAAGAGGTCGGTGTTTGTGCTGGTTCTGGATGACCAATCAACATCGCTAGAGTACCTGCTTCCGCAGCTGGTACTCCTCCGGAGACGGGCGCGTCAATGTATGTTCCTGTCCCCGTTTCTCTTAACTTTTGACCAACTTCTTTTGTTGTGTTCACATCGATCGTGCTGCATTCTAACATGATCCTTTCTTCGTCTTTCTTTGCCGCAATGACCCCGTCATTCTCGTCTAGATACACTTTCTTCATATCAGCTCCTCCTGGTACGATTGATATAAGTACTTTTGCGTTTTCCGCCGCTTCGCGTGCTGTGGCGACGATCTGTATGGGGCCGTACGAAGAGTATTCATCATTGAAGCGAGAGCAAGCAGACGCGTTGATATCATTAACATAGAGGGTCGAAGACTGGTTTATCTTCTTTCGGATATTAGCAGCCATTGCGTAGCCCATCGCTCCGAGACCTGATCATTATTAGTGGATCGATACCAGATATGATCTGTCGTCTCCCACTGACCAATGAACGCATAATTGTCTGCCAATGCCATGCTGCCAGATGATTCTGTTTTTTCGAAGATAGGAAGTTCAATTACGAGATAGTCTCTTTGGTCAAATAGGTGACTTCGAAATGCTCACCATATGCTTAAGCGTGTCTCGTTCAAGCAGTTAGCGTCATTCGTCCCTGCATGTGCGTTTACCAATGCCCCACATTCTCCCCTCACTTCCCCAGCTTCCTTACCCCAACTCAATATCCTCGGCGCTACCACTCCGGCCTCACTGTCATCAGGACCCTGTGAGAGGACAAAGATATGGGGTAATACTCATGTGCAGATTCCCATAGGTACTTCACCCTAAGGTTTACAAATCGAAGAGCCATCACAACATTGACATTCGATCAGATCATGTCATCCTCGTCGTTACGCGTGGGTGTAATCGGCCCTGCAGGCTTCGGCGGATCTTACCTCTGTGTCGAGCTATTAAATCGAGGCCATACCGTCTTTGGTATATCGCGTAACCCAGAGAAATTGGGAAAGCATCCGCGCTACGTTCCACGTCCCGTAGACATCGATGAGGTTTCTACAGAAGATCTAGCAAAGCAATTTGAGGGCATCGATGTACTGGTCAGCGAATTTGGACCACACACAGCTGGTGCAGGGGCGTTGTTGTACAGTATGCCTTCAATTGACCACGGACATGTACAGAAAGTGACTGACGCACGACAGTGCCGTTCTTGGAATCCGTTAGGAAGATTCTCCTAGCGCACAAGATATGCCCATCGTCTTACTTTCTCTTTGTCGGTGGCGCAGGCTCTCTTCACGTTCCTGGCACTAGCCTTCCGTGCGTCGACCATCCTGACTTTTTTCTCGCCTACCGCCGGGCGATTTCAACGTCTCTCGCACACATAGCATATATGGAGGAGCGTCTGGGTATCATGGGTACCTCTCTGCGACGGTATCGTGAAGCCAGATTAGCAGAGAGCTCTGGGAGAGCCACCGAAGAAGACAAAACTGTGATCGCAGACTACGAGAAGCAGATCTGCGTGAAAGACAACGCATCGGATTTCATCAAAGCGGGACGGACGGCGTACATGTTTTTTGAAGACCGTAAGACTTTCAACTGGAGTTTTGTTTCGCCATCTGCTTTGTATCGTCCGGGAAAGAGAACTGGAAAGTATGAGGTTAGCGTTGATGATATGGTGTTGGTGGGCGAGCAGCAGGAGGGCAAAGACGTGTTCGAGGGAAGACTGACCGGGATAAGTGTTGCTGACATGGCCATTGCGATCGCAGATGAGATTGAGCAAAGGAAGTTGGTTTGGAAACATTGGAGTGCTTCGGGGGATATAAGTGAGGATGTGCCGGCGCCGGCGTACGTAGGACTGGATGCTGTGGAGGGTGGCAGTAGGTGAGGTGGTCTCGAGAGCCTCGAAATTTAGACAATTCTGAAGTGAAATTAAAATGGTCCTTTATTGGTATCTTTTCCTAGTCTCGCCTATACGCTCATCTCCTTCAAGTCCTCGCTAACCTTGAACGGCGCTTCCGTCTTGCTTCTGATCTCATCGACAGTAACACCCTTTGCATGCTCCTTCAGGGTTAGTCCTTCAACGCGATCGCAGTCGAATACGGCCAGGTCTGTGATGATGGTGCTGACGCACTTCTGTCCGGTGAGGGGGAATGTGCATTGATTTAGAATCTTGGGGTTGCCCTTCTTGTCGACATGTTCCATGGTGATGACGACTTTGGTTTGTGTAGGGTTTGCGACCAAGTCCATGGCCCCGCCGATGCCTTTGACCTTTCCGGGAAGCATGAAGTTTGCGAGATCTGGAGAGGTGTTTAGTAAACGGAAAGGCAAACAAGACTGAAGTGTAAAACAAACCTCCGTATTGGTTTACTTGCATAGCACCCAACATGGCGACATCTATGCGTCCTGATCGGATCATACCAAAAGACTCGTGGCTGCCGAACGTTGATGCGCCCTTGATCAGGGTAACAGTCTCCTTTCCGGCATTGATGAGGTCAGGGTCCTGATTTTGTTAATGATATTAAAAACACTTCACTGTTATCGCAGACTCACCTCTTCACCCGGCTTGGGATACCGGCCCATACCCAAGATTCCATTCTCTGACTCGAGCACGATCTCGGTGCCCTCGGGCAAGAATGCAGGCGCTGCTAGAGGCATGCCGATACCAAGGTTGACATACATGCCATCCTTCAATTCTTGAGCTGCGCGCTTGATGATGCGCTCGCGCTTCTGTGATGCTTCGGTTGAACCTGATAAATTTGGTTAGTGATATGCCTTTCGTGGTATAGCATGAACACAACTTACCACCTTCCAAGAGCGCCTTCTTCTGCTCCTCTGGACTCTTCCAGAACACCTTCCTCTCGATCTCCTTGCCAACTGTGCTCTTGATCACTCTCTTCACGTATATTCCCTGGAGATGAATATCTTCTGGTGCAATCTCGCCGTCCTCAACAATCTCATCTGCTTCGACAATCGTCATCTTCGCATTCTTGCCCATTGCTTCATTGAAGTTGTTCTGTGCTTTTCGGAACTGGCAGTTACCGAGCCGATCGGCTTTTGCGACTTTGACGAAGGCGTAATCACCAAAGATGGCTTCTTCCATCACGTAGGATTTGCCGTTGAATTCGCGTGTTTCTTTTGGAGGAGCCATTTTCGCGATGGTACCGTCGGTGTTGTAGCGCACAGGAAGTTCACCAGTTTGTACTGCATATTGTTAGCCGTGTCGTATACGTGCAACTGTTTTGTTCCCATACCAATTGTTCCGTATGCTGCTGGTGTGTAGAAAGCTGGCACACCAGCAGCACCAGCAGCGCACTTCTCAGCAATCGTGCCTTGAGGAGTCAATTGCAGACTCAGCTGACCCTTCAAGTACATCTGCTCAAACACCTTGTTATCTCCGATGTAACTCGCAATCATCGTGCCAATCTGCTTTGTCTCCAAGAGTTGTCCCAGCCCAACACCCGGCATACCGGCGTTATTGCTGACAACGGTGAAGTTTTTGAGGTCACTTCGGTCGCGTAGAGCATTGATGAGAGTGTTTGGTACTCCTGAAAAGCCAAATCCACCAACTAAGACTGTCGTATCGGACTTCATGTCCTTGATGGCTTCTTGTGCGGAGGAGACGATCTTGTTGATGGCTGGCCGAGACGCGCTCGCAGAGAAGAACCGCAAGCCCGTCGCTGGGCCGTGGCGGCGTGCGGAAAATAGAAGAGAACGTTGCATCGTGAGAGTCGTGCTCGTGAATCGCAACGCAACGAGGAAAAGAAGTCGAACCAACAAGCTTCAAACTGTTCAAGACAGTTTGAGATGGCGCACAAGGTTACTGCAGGCGTGGGCTATTTTCAAGAGTGTAATGAGAGCTCAATCGACAACGATACCTGGCTCAGCCCTCCGCTTCTCCGCAAAACTCAATGCACAAGGACAGCGTGTGAGAAATGTGGTGTACAGTAGAGTTGACGCTCCCCACACGAGTACCATGGGCATGCATCATAGTAACTAGCCGATTGGGTCAGACCGACCCAAATGCCGTGCCGATGGCGGGTAAGAGCAAAGCTCCACAATCGGAGGTGGATAAGGACTTAGCCGGCCAAGATGCGGAGGTTGCGGCCAAAACGCACGTTCATTGGATCGTTAGAGAGGCGGAAAAAGGCACTGGGGCTCGGAGATGGAAAACATTTCCAACAGCAAAACGACCTGGACTGGCTCACGTGTCCACGCGCTATCGCGTCTCAAAAAAAACTTGCCGCCAATAGACACTCTGGCAGTATTGCGCATTGGACGTGGTTTTACATTTTGAAAAAAATTGGTAAGAGTACTTTGCTATAGAAGCTACCTATCGCTTGTGCTTAGGGAACGCATTAGTACAAGTCGTGGACGATTCGCTTCACTGTGTAGCATGTCAGTCGATGGAAGTCCCTAATGCATACGTGATAACTCACAGTTCGCAAAATCCTTGTGGTCTTTACTGTGTAGCGCACGTGACGCGATGGCTTCCTCTTCTGCATCGCCGGTCGGCACATTGTACTATTGATCGACGATTAGCACAAGTCGTCCTGGCATGCCTCAGATACTTACAGCTGTCAAAGTGGTCTTGTGCCCTAGCTCTTCAACAAGTTCGGCGATAGCGTCGGCAACGAGATGCGAGTCCTTCTCATCGCTGCCTGTACTTTGCTTCCCAATGTAAGGAATGATCCTCGCGATCTGCTTTGCCTCCTCTGGGTTGCTAGCCTTGAAGTGTACTGTCGGCGCTAGACTGAGACAGCTGGTGATACCATGCGGAATGCTATAGGTAGCACCTATCGCATGACCTATGCTGTGGCTGAGACCGACTCCACCGGTGTATAGAAAAGGGAAAAGTGAGGAATAACACGCAACGAAGAGCTTTGTTCGCACTTCCGCGTTGTCGGGGTCGGCTTTCGACTGCGGCAAGTACGTAAACAGATCTTTGATAGCCTCCAGAGACATGCGTTTCGTGGGAATCTCAGCAGCGAGAGGGTGGTACATCAGCTCAACTGCGTGGTCCAATGATCGGATTCCTGTGCTTGTCCATAGGTTCAAAGGTGTGTATATGGCAAGTTCACCATCGTATACAACAGCCTTGGGTACAAGCTCAGGGTCGCTCACAGCGATCTTGTGCTTTTCCTTGGTGGTGAAGCCGGCGTTCTGTGTCGTCTCTGCTACACTGAGCGTTGTTGGTACGGCGATACTTGGTATCCACTTCCCGGTCTCCTCATGGATATTGTACGCGATCGCTTTGGCCGAATCGATAGGCGATCCGCCACCTATTGAGATGAGGACGTCGCATCCTGACTTTGCCATCAAGGCTGTGGCTTCTTTAATATCCCCAATTGGCCTACGACATGTCAGTCTCCACTGCTGAAATCAAACTGCATCTCACATACGCATGCTGTCCAATCTTGCTGAATGTACCACCATGTGCAGAGCCAAGTGCTTTCTCAATGTTCTTGATCACAGGCGTCTTCTCGTACAACGACCGCCCGGTGATGATAAAGGCTTTAGTAGCACCGAGTTCGGCAATGACATCCGAAAGCTGGTTGCTGGTTCCTGTGCGAAATAGTAAGTTATTGTCAAGCCGTAACCATAGGCTGCTTACCATTTCCGTAGATCATGAGCTTGACGGGCGACGCTCTGTACACCCCCTTGGCAGAGGAGTCAATGCTGCCATTTTGGTATTTGGTCGGGAGCGCCATTGTGTAGTGTTTGGTTGAATTCAGTTTGCGTGTGAAAATGTTCAAAGTGAACAGTCGCGTCTGCATGCAAGCTAAATCCGGCAAGCATCATTGCGGTGTTGCCCGAGTTGTCATAGAGGGGTCTTCCCGATCCTGCCCCACACATACACGTCGCCCCGCCACAGCCCTTACCACAATCACAATGCGGCACATTCTCGGGCATTTGATATAGTACAATAGGTAACTACTCTTGTAGTAATGCAACGCGTATCTTCTCAGTGTATACGTCAAAATGGCATCCTTTAGCAAAGCTGCGCGAAACGTGTTGCACAAAAGCCCGAACGATGTTGTGTTACTTTCTACGGTCAGGTCGCCAATCAATCGTAGTTTCAAGGGCGGTTACAAAGATGCTCACCCAGAAGACATATTGATGCCGGTGAGTGTCGGCATAAGAATGCACTACGCTGTTGCTAAACATGTCAGATTATGAGAGCTGCCGTACAACGAGCTGGCATTGAAAAGAATGATGTGAACGATGTCATGATTGGGAATGTACTCGCTGAACTTGGTTTCGCAAAGACCGGGCGCATGGCACTCAATCATGCTGGATTTCCAAACTCGACGACTTTTCACACAGTCAATCGTCAATGTTCGAGCAGTCTGCAGGCCATCACCCACATTTCGCACTCGATAATGGTGGGCCAAATTGACGTGGGGCTTGCTGGCGGTGTAGAGAGCATGTCAAGGAACTACGCCTCGCGGGGCCTCCCGACCGATGTTTCGCCCACACTACTAGGATCAACCGTCAAAGATGCTCGCGACTGTCTCATGCCGATGGGAATCACGTCAGAGAATGTGGCGGAAAGATACAAGGTCGATAGAAAGTCACAAGACGAGTATGCGGTACGAAGTCATAGTCGCGCAAGTCGCGCCCAAAAGGAAGGCCGCTTTGACTGGGAGATAGCGCCAGTGACGGTTCAGAGGATAGACGAAGCAAGCGGTCAGCCTGCAGGGCATGAAGTAACCAAGGACGATGGTATTCGACATGGCTTAACTTTTGAAAAAGTGTCGACGCTCAAGCCTGTGTTCGGCGAGAACGGCAAGAGTACTGCAGGCAACTCGTAAGTTGACCTAGATCAAAGCTACTACGTGGCTAACCTACCAGGTCTCAAATATCCGACGGCGCATCCTCGACCATACTCGCTCGGCGTTCATGGGCTGAAGAGCGTGGTCTGAAGCCACTCGGCCGCTTTGTCGGTACACAAGTCAAAGGCTGCGCTCCCGATGAGATGGGCATCAGCCCAATATACGCGATACCTGCATTACTGGAGTGGACAGGTATCCAACTAAAGGACGTCGATGTTATCGAGCTGAACGAGGCGTTCGCCAGTCAAACCATCGCTTGCATTCGGGAGCTGGGTCTCGATGAAGACAAGGTTAACCCGAATGGAGGTGCGATAGCTCTCGGACATCCTACTGGGGCGACAGGTGCTCGGCAAACTGCTACACTGTTTGGCGAGCTGCGACGTCAAGACAAGGAGATCGGCATTGTCAGCATGTGTGCGAGTACCGGGCTAGGCCTTGCTTCTTTGTTCGTTCGAGAGTCATAGCATTGTAGAAATCTAACGAAACGTTGATGGTGATGATCTAAAGATGATGGTAGTGAAGCTCGGAACACGAAACTGTCGCGCGCGTCACATGTCCATTCCGCCTAGCCAGTTTGGGAAGCGGTAAACACAGGGGGCCGCCCGCATTCTAGCCCGGCAGTGTCTTCCCCACACGATGCTGCTGCATCCGCGTCCCACACGTCCACCGCCTGGGAGCCACCAGCCATGTCTTGGGCATTGTTGAAGCTCTCTTTAGAGCCTCATATCCCCTTCATGATTCATTGAGGTGCTTTTGCCATTACAATCAACATCATGTTCTTGCTTCGACGCGCCCCACTGCGTGCCATCCCCCGGCAAACCACCTTCCGTCCTCAACGACGATCACTCGGCAGCGTGAGCGCCATCGACTCAGTCATTTTCCGTACGCTGTTTGGAACCGATGAGATTCGGAAGGTGTTTGACGACAAAGCGTACATCAATCGGTGCGTTGATGCCGAGACCGCATTGGCAAGGGCACAGTCAAAATGCAATGTGATACCTTCACATATCGGAGAGATTGTGACATCCAAAGCCCGCGAAGTAGAACTCGACTACGACAGGCTGCGCAACGAAACCGAAATCGTCGGATATCCCATATTTCCTTTGGTCCGACAGCTCTCCGCGTCATGTGGTGACGAGGCCGGACGTTATGTGCATTGGGGAGCAACAACACAGGACATCATGGATCTGGCAAGCATGCTGCAGATGAAAGAAGGCCTTGAGATTGTTGAGCGTACGCTTCGCTCCGTCATCAAGAACCTGGAAGATTTGTCAAGAAAGCATCGGGATACGCCCATGGCCGGTCGCACCCATCTTCAGCATGCTCTGCCCATTACTTTCGGACACAAGTGTGCTATATGGCTATCTGGATTCCAAAGACACCTCGAGCGCCTCGAGCAGCTCAAATCGCGTGCCTTGATGGTCCAGTTTGGAGGAGCTGCAGGCTCTTTGGCTTCACTAGGCTCAGGCGACGATGGCATCCGTGTTCGGAAGGAAATGGCGAAAGATCTAGGTTTGACCGATCCTCCGATCACATGGCATGTCGCCAGAGATGGAGTTGCTGAAATTACAAACTACCTTGCACTTGTTGGTGGTACCTTAGGCAAGCTTGCTCTGGACATTATCATCATGTCTTCAAACGAACTTTCAGAAGTCTCAGAGCCTTTTGTGCCGCACCGCGGCGCCTCCTCGACTATGCCACAGAAGCGGAACCCCATTTCAAGCGAAGTCATTCTGGCGGCATCGAAGATTCTACGATCAAATGCCGGCTTGGTGCTCGACGGTATGGTGTCAGACTTCGAGCGTGCTTCTGGTCCATGGCATCTGGAATGGGTGGCTGTCCCAGAAAGCTTTGTGATTGCTGTTGGAGCGCTGAACCAGGCTGACTTTGCGCTTTCTGGCCTTGTAGTAAACCCCAAGCAGATGCTCACAAATCTGTATTCTACTAGGGGTCTAATCGTCGCTGAAGCTGTAATGATGGGCCTTGCTCCGCATGTCGGTCGATCAAAAGCGCACGATGTTGTCTACGAGGCATGCAAAGAAAGTATTGAGAACGATACCAGCTTATTAGAAGCTCTGCAGACGCGGTCCGAGATTACCGACAAGATTTCCAGCCAAGAGCTCAGCTCGCTGTGCGATGCGAAGAACTATCTAGGCTCGTGTGGATTGATGGTGGACGAGGTCTTAGCTGCATCCAGATAAACAACATGAGAGCACATTTGCCATGCATAGACATTACTTGACAACCACATTGTAAATGCGTTTCCTGAGTCAGCACTATACTTTCGATTGACCACCTTATCATGACCGCCAAAGAACCCCGCAAGTGAGCCACTAGGTCCATGTTGCGACAGCCTTCATGTGGGAGAGTGCATCGCACGTTCATCTCACGGGTCCCACCAACCCGGTCAAGATAATGACTCTTTGCCCAATGATATCCATGTGGGCCTCCTCACAGCTCCCGTAGCTACCGAATTGGTAACCCCGCTATTATGTGTATCGGGCCCCGCCACCACATCATGCACAGGCCGGACCACCTAGCTGCGGCAGATGTCGGCCTAAAGTTCCATAGCCATGGATAGTCCAATATAAGGCTGATTCTTGACATGGTAAGCTTGATCACACCTACAGTCCATCGTCATACACTCAACATCATGCAAGACTTCAAAGAACGCAAGCTCGTCACCGATCCCCAAAAGGCATTCCACTTCACAGATCTCCAAAGACTGAAGCCAACACGTGCAAACGACCCCTACGACTATCAAGCGGGATGGGGAAATCGACATCAATCAGAGGTCATTCCAGGCACTTTACCCGTTGCTCAGAATAACCCTCAGGAAGTTCGATTCGGACTTTATACTGAAGGCATCACATATTCAGCATTCGCAGCGCCCCGCGCCCACAACTTTAGTACTTATATGTACCGATGCCGACCCGCAGCTGCTCATAGTATGTGTTGCTATCAAACTTCCTGCACGAATATACTAACGTATCACAGAGGGCTACATTCCGATTGAGACAAAGTCGAATATCACAAACTGTTTCTTGTCCATCAATCCTAAAGTCGAGACGCTCCCTGAGCAAGCAGAATGGCATCCATTTCCACTGCCAAAAGAAGATGAGAAAATTGACTTCGTCGATGGCCTGCATACACTCTGCGGCAGCGGAGACCCAAACATCAAAGAGGGTCTTGCGCTATACGTATACATGATCAACTCGAGTATGGAACAACGAGCATTCTGTAACACCGATGGCGACTTCCTTATCTGCGCGCAACAAGGCAACCTTGACATAAAGACTGAGATGGGGAAGATCTTCTTGCAACCTGGTGAGATCTGTGTTATACAGCGTGGTATTAGGTTTTGCCTGAACTTGGCTCCGGATACACCAGTGGCGCGTGGCTATATCACAGAAGTCTGGGGGTCGATGTGGGAGCTTCCGGATCTTGGCCCACTAGGTGGCCATGGTCTTGCCAATCCTCGCGATTTCCTCTACCCGGTAGCCGCTATCGATGATGATCTGCACGTAGACTGGCAGATCGTCAACAAGACCAACGGTCAGCTCGTGGCGATACAGCAAGACCACAGCCCCTTCGATCTTGTCGCATGGCACGGTAACGTTGTTCCGTACAAGTATGATCTTACGAAGTTCTCTTCGCAAAACAGCACATCCATCGATCACACTGACCCATCGATCTTCACAGTCCTCACAGCCAAATCCCGTGATCCTTTGACACCATTAGCAGACTTCCTCTGGTTCGGTCCCAGGTGGGATGTTGCGACCAACACTTTCCGACTACCCTACTTCCACCGCAATTCCGCCTCCGAATTCCTTGCCTGTCTATACGGACAAGGTCTTGGAAGAAGCGACGATTTCCGACCTGGTGGAGGTAGTTTTGAGGGCGGTCACACACCCCACGGTGGATTTCATGAGGGATACCAACATGGTATGCGTATACATGAGAGCCAACCCGAGAAGATTCTCACTGGTAAGCCACACTCATTACCAAACAGTCGGAAGATTGCTAACGTCGACTTAGACCAATTGACCATCATGGTCGAATCAAGCCGTCTCTTCCTCTTTACTGAATACGCTCGTAAGGGCTGCGGGACAATCGAAACACGGGGAACCGACTACAAGGTTTGGGATGCTCTTCCGGATCGCTTCTCTGCCAACAAGAGAGCCCAAGAGTTACTGGCTCGAATCAAGGACGACAAGATTGCAGAGAAGAAGAGGCTTGCACCGTACTACTTCGGTGGGTTTTCGCATGGCGCCAACACCAGTAACACAGAGGGTGTTCACGCTGAAGAGCTGAAGCAATATCTCACCTCCGACTCGAAGGCCAACGGAACAAACGGCGTCCATGCATAAATGTTCTTTTGTGTTCTCAATTTCGTGTCTCAGTCAATTTAGCGATGTAATTGTGCGAGTTCCAACACTACATGTACATTGTATATACCGCATTCAATACTGTGCAATGAATACTGTCTCAACGTCTGTCATATCAGAAAATGTCTGTGCATTCACATACGGGACCCTTTGCGGACCCCACAAGCTTCATGTGGGGCAAGAACTTTCAGACATCAAGCTACGTTCTCTTAATATCACCGTTGACGGACATGGCGAGCCTAGAGCAGGACCATGTATTCTTTCAGGACAGTCGCGAGAGCGGCACCACACGCGTACCTTCAACCCATAGCCAGTCGGATCGCTACCCGAACATCGCAACCACAGAGAAGAAGTATCGCGACCAAGAACAATGTTTCCAAACAAATGGTTGAGAAACTGCCTTTGGCAGGAATCAAAGTCCTGGACATGACCCGAGTATTAGCTGGGGTATGTGATTGACTCGGCGAAATGGAAACGCAGTCGCTAATATCAAGTAGCCATACTGTACACAAATACTTGGAGATCTTGGGTTAGTAATGAACACATAGCTAGATAGAACAGACGCTGATGAGTGATCAGAGCAGACGTGATCAAGATCGAACACCCCACACGAGGCGACGACACACGATCCTGGGGCCCACCAGATGCACCATATACGGACGGTGTCGAGCGTCAGTTCCCTGGCGAAAGCGCATATTATCTTTCCGTATGTCTGATGAGTTAACCGTGTATGTGACTCTCTGACTTGATGCAGGTAAATCGTAATAAGAAGTCGATTGGGCTAGCCTTCAACAACCCCACAGGAATCTCCATTCTGCACAGGCTCGCGCAGGAATGCGATGTGCTTGTTGAGAACTACCTCCCGGGATCGCTCGCAAAGTATCAGCTCGACTACGCAACCCTTGCGAAGCTCAATCCTTCCCTTGTTTACGCTTCTGTCACCGGCTATGGACAAACGGGACCATACCGCGATCGTGCAGGCTATGATGTGATGGTCGAGGCTGAGATGGGCTTGATGCACATCACTGGAGAGAGGGATGGACCACCAGTCAAGGTTGGCGTAGCGGTTACGGATATCATGACTGGCATGTACACTGCGATTGGCATACAGGCGGCGTTATATTCGCGTAAAGAGACTGGTTTAGGCCAGTGGATCGATGCGAGTTTGAGCGACGTGCAGGTTTCGGGATTGGCAAACATCGCGAGCAGTGCGCTGGTAACAGGCAAAGGCGACAGTGGTCGATGGGGAACTGCACATGGTAAGCGCAGACTTGAGATGTAAGACCGAGGATCATACTGACTTGGCCATAGCGACAGTAGTACCCTACCGAGCTTACAAAACAAAAGACACGAACATCGCAGTTGGCGGCTGCAACGACCGCCTCTATGGCATCCTCTGCGACAAGCTACAACGCCCGGAATGGAAAACCGATCCTCGCTTCCTCACAAACGCGCTCCGCGTCAAACACCGTACGGAGATCGATACGCTTGTCGAAGCCGAACTCATGACCAAGACAACACAAGAGTGGCTGGAGATCTTCGACGGAAGCGGAATGCCATACGCGGCTGTGAATGATATCAAGGGCACGGTTGAACACGAACACGTTCTTGCGCGCAATATGATCCAGGAGATCGATCATCCAGCAGTGGGCAAGGTGAAGCTTGTCAATCATCCGGTGAAATATTCGAGAGCCGAGCCGCGGATCAGGAGTCCACCGCCGTTACTGGGGCAGCATACCGATGAGGTATTAAGGGACATGTTGGGATATGGAGAGAGCGAGATCAAGGAGCTGAGAGATAAGAAAGTTGTTGCGTAGATGTTGATGTTGCGCGCTACCCCTGCATTCCAAATCCTCGAAACAAGAACGCGTGCCAATGAATACGGTTCATCAACTTACGCGTCATCACATGATTCGATATCCTTGCAAGCTTTTAGTCTTACGCTGCACGTTCTCAAAGACCCAACCACCGAATTTCCCAAGCCGCGTGTCCGCCGTCAGCAAACCTTTGAGAGTGACGTTTCGCGAAGCCCCACGTGGCTCCGCTTTCTTCGACGCGGATCACCGGATAAGTGCGCTAGCCCCACATGCGCCATCAGCATGCACCCCACAACGTCCTTCACGCGACATGCTCTTGGCCATATCGCGGATGTATTGTGCCCTGCATGTGCCATGTGGGTTTGATATTGCGAAAGCCAGCCATGTGGTATACGACTAGTGGGGGTAGAATGCGTACTGAGAGTGTTGTGCGAGGATGGCATGGCTGGTAAACGCATGTTGAACGTGTAAAAGCCAGGCACGGTTAAGTAGATACCTAGGTATCTTCAGTATGACAACTAAGACTATTGCAGTTGAAACAGGTAACAATGCAACGGCACTGCCGTTCCGTTATCAGTTCGCTGCTGGGGCTGTTGCTGGGATATCAGAGATTTTGGTAATGTGAGATTAGGTACCTTCATGTTAGAATTCGAGAAAGCTACTAAGAACATTGACAGGTACCCGCTTGATGTAGTCAAGACACGGATCCAACTTCAGCATGGCAAAGTCATTGATGGTGAAGGGTACAATGGTGTCTTGGACTGCTTCAAAAAGATTATCAGGAATGAGGGTGTGTTGAGATTATATCGCGGTATTACTGCGCCTATATTGATGGAGGTACCCAAGCGGTACGATCAAATCTTCCTCTCAAGTTGACAACAGCTGATCAAAGGCAGTGCTATCAAGTTCTCGGCGAACGATACTTTCACACAGTTTTATCAACACCTGTTCTCTACTCCGACAGTAACCCAACCTCTCGCAATCCTCACAGGTGCCAGCGCCGGCGCAACAGAATCCCTCGTAGTTGTTCCTTTCGAGCTACTCAAGATTCGACTACAAGATAAGACCTCTGCATCACGATATAACGGCCTCCTCGACTGTCTCGTCAAAGTAGTTCGCCAAGAGGGGCTATTGGCACTATACAACGGTTTCGAAGCCACGTTATGGCGGCACATTGTATGGAACGCCGGGTATTTTGGCTGCATTTTCCAAGTGCGGGCTCAGCTACCCGCTCCAGCGACATCGAGCAACCCGAGAAGACAGAAAATGGGGAACGATCTCATCGCCGGGTTTGTGGGAGGTGTTGTGGGAACGACATTTAACACCCCGTTAGATGTAGTCAAGAGTCGAATACAGAGCGTCGCTAAAACACCTGGTGTAAGGCAGAAGTACGCTTGGGCGTGGCCGAGTCTGGAGGTCGTTGCAAGAGAAGAAGGGTTCAGAGCGTTATACAAGGGATATGTGGCGAAAATACTTAGATTTGGACCAGGTGGAGGTGTATTGCTAGTCGTGTATTCTGCAGTGTTGGATATGTTCGCGAAAACAGCATAAGCATCGCTTGAATTGAAGGAACGATTGCTTAAACGCTGATACAAAGAAATATCGGCTTCATGTAGTTGGCCTGGCCCTCGTAGCTCAAATATCTGTGCCAGACTTGACGAAGATGTGCAAACTATTCAGTGCAGATGGTAGTAACTGTCATGTGCTTGTCATTGGCTACTGACCAACATTCCAAATCTCAGTTCTGGTATTTCCCTTGAGCCGACAATGATATGTCACACGCTCACTCTCAACTGGCCTTGTCCCTTCAGTGAATTCATGTACGTTAGTCGTATACCCATCCGCTTACTTATCTGAGACGCGATCATCCGATGTGCAAACCTCTAGCGGAAGATTGACAGAATGAAACATGGCTAGCCGACATCTAAAGTAGCAATTGATTGATTCAATGCGCCAGATCAAGCAAAGCTAGTCACCTAAATGAGGCGAATGAGACAGTCGGAGATTCCAACACGGTCAGCAGTCAGGGGAGGCCCCACTAGCGTACGCCTCATGGTCCCACATGAGAGTCGATCCGGGGTTGGAGCAGGACGGAATCCTTCGAGAAGTCTTTGAAATTTGAGGCGTGTCTTCGGGTCATCTATCTCGTCATCCAACAAGTGCGACAAGGCACGGTGCGATTTGCGGTGTTTGGTGATGGCATGGCGTTAGACGATGGTCTGAGGGTCCTGCACGCCGGAGGTATCTCCAAGTGGCGATTGTGGACCACCAACTTGAAAATCAGCTGTATCCTTCGGAGGCACACATATGCGCGCGGCGCAATCTGCAGCAGCAGGATTGCAGGTTTATATGCGTTTTGTAGATGAAGGTTGAGATGAGCCTATAATGCTTAGGCCGAGTCATGGTCTTGCTTTCCCCCGCAGTCCGCGATCTCTTGGCAACCTAGACAGCACCTGCAGACACCGACCTTCGAAGGGTCCTCCGACATCCGCCTACACATCGAATCTTTGCGACGAGCGACATGGCGTTAAAACAGTGCAGCATGTGCGATCGCACATTCACCAAATGTATGTCGCGGCCGAGCGCGTCAAGAAAGTGGGCTGACCTCTCCTCCAGTAGAGCACGTGAAAAGGCATGAGCGGTCGCGTCCGTCTATCATAAACCTTCATTATCATCGTTGACTAAACATCATCTCAGACACACGAGAACGACCTTATGAGTGCCCGACATGCAAAAAGCACTTCTCGCGCAGGTGAGTCCCCCAATGAAAAACCTCCGTACTAGCGTCCAACCTCTGCGAATAGCGATGTTCTGTTCCGACACTGCAAAGGCCACGCGCAGAATGCTATGAACCGGATGAAGAGCAATGAGCAACAAAACACCAACGATCAGCAAGAGTTCCGTCACAACTCGATGGACGAGAACCAAACATCACGACCATCTGCATCACGAACCGCAAACGGCCCGACTCCAGGACCAACGCCATTAATCCGTGAAGATTCCAACTTCTCGCCTATGTCCAGGAGAAGAGAATCCCAAATACCGCAAATCAACGTGAATGATCAGTACAACGCGCATATTTCTCCGCAGACTCATGCCCGGCAACCTCCATCGCGATTGCAGCCGCCGTCACCCGGTGAGGACCGAATAGAAGCGCTCATCAACGCGGCGCAGCATCTCGAACCCGGAACCGACACGCCATGGCGATCGCCATCACCTATGATCATTGCGCGTGCAGAACATGCTCAGATGTCCAATCGAAATCCTCACGAAAGTATGGGTCCACCGATCGACCCGGCTATGGAGGCCCTCACATTCTCACCAGCCGGACACGTATCGAGTTTGGATCAGTGGGCTTTTGAGCTTGTTCAAAGCAACAACCCAGTTCCCAACCGTACTCCTGCGGACGCCTTACAAACATGGCTGTTTCCCCTCGAAGGTGATATGAATACTCCTCATGGATCACACCACCTGGGTGTAGACGGCTTTTTCGACCATGAGGCGTTTCGAGCAGTCCCAGAAAATCAAGCTAGTCCATCGGGTAGCAGTGTTTCAATAGCAAGCAGAGTCCCACGAGAACGGTTTCAGCGAGTCCAAAGTTGCTGGCCGTCCAGGAATCGCAAATCTACGCGGCTGATGCCAGACCTATGGCAGAATCTAGTGGCGTGCGAATGCACCAACATACTCTCAGAAGTTGGTTCTGGAGCTATGGAAACTCCAATGAGCGAAAGAGAACGGCGAAACTCGCGTTGGGGGCTGGACGAAGAGTGCAGGAGCAGGCTCCAAAGCACGCTGAACAATTTACCATCATCCGGACCGCCGCGGTCAGAATCCTATGGCGACACTGCGTCGTCGAGCGGCGATGCAGCAGGAAGTCCAAGTATCGAGGGTGTGCAGTTCCCACCTGCTGAAATCTTGGATATCGCATTGGAGATGTATCTCTATTACTTTCATCCTACCCTTCCAATCATCCATATTCCTACTTTCTCGGCAAAGAATGCGCCCCGGCCACTGCTACTTTGTATGTGTCTTATTGGACTAAGCATCCTTGGTACGGCAGGTGCAGCAAAGTTTGTTACACGCACATTTCCTGTAAGCAACATTGCAGTGGTATATGCCCTATGACGACTAACATATGCTTAGGCTGTGTTACAACTTGCGTTGGCGGAACTGCAATCACTACCGACAACAGACCATCCGCCGCATAGGCAAATGCGGATAATTGCCACTAGCTTGCTTGCGCTTAATTTAGCATCGATCACAGGAGTGAGTAGCACTAATCGATAGCATACATTGTTGGTTAACATTCACGTAGCGAAAAAGCCGTATTGCACAAGCAGAGAAGATGTATGCAGAGCTCATCGAGGTACATGGCCGCTTACATACACTGCTCCCAGTCATTCAACTAACTGTCCCAGTTTTCGCAAAGTCAGGGGCTTTTCTCCGCTAATGAGGGTGTAAAGATCGACCCTCTTCTCGACGAGATGATCGATATCGACTCCAAGTGGAAGGCTTGGTCCAAGGTTGAATGCGGCAAACGTATCATCTTTGGTCTCATAGAAGCAGATTGCTGGTGGGCAGGCTATCTATCAACGTCGCCAATGATCCGCCCCGAAACAGTACAAATTTTGCCACCCTCGGACTACTCCCTATATCACGTCAACAGCGCAGCGAAATGGTTTAATCTTGTACAGCGTGGCGCAAGAATTCACTCGCAGAAGATAACACCGTCATTCCATCCGACCCCGGGACTGAAGCTCGATGCATCAAGCTTTCGCTCACTATTGACCCTTCTCCTCCTACGCATCTATGAGAGCAACGATAGGCTTGCTCAAGTGACAGGAAATCAAAAGCAGCTACAGCCCTGGCGCATATACGCTGAAGATGCTCGTAGTCGAGACATCCTGCCACTGTTGGTGAACCTCTCCAGTTCTTCGATCGACGCACTTCGAACAGCGGACTTGAATTCCGCTGTCCTTTGGCATGCCTCTTGCATGGTGCTTGGAGCAAACATACGCTATTTCGAACTCGCAGCTGGACGCTCCGGTCCCGAGCCTGCCGTCAACGCTCTGGAAGACATCTCAGTATGGTGTCAAACACCAAGCGCAAGAAGGAGCGTGCTGCACGCCGCCCACATCTACAAACTACTCTTCGACCGAAAAGTTAGTGATATCGTCAACCCACACAGCGTGGTCGCTCTGTTTCACGCTGCCCTCGTCCTAGGCTTATACATCTTCGCCCTTCCCCCAACGCCCAATTGTCCTATCAACGACTCGTGCATCGAGCTTCTCGATCTTGTAGACTGGATATCTGTTGGTCAGCTTGGTTTTATCGATACGCCGCAATCACCTGTAGCATTCGGCGACACCACGCAAGTCGTGAAATTCATACACCACGGTGGGAGCTTTAGTATAACTGGTATCACACTCGAGGGCGGATATCTCGCGGCTCGCCGCACCTTATTACATTGTGCAGATCTCATGGAAGGCATGGGTCGCTGGAAGAGCAGAACATTCAGTCAGATACTACACATCATGAGCGATGATCTGACAGACTATGAGGGTCATGATAATGATGATGGGGAGGATGAGGTAGATGGCGGTGGGGAAGAAGGGGAGAGGAATACGAGGTGACGGTTAGCATCCTCTTCCCAGCAGTGTCTTTCGATTACCCAATTGCAAGGCCTGTGGGGAAGAGGATGATAATCAAGATAATCACGGAGTGATTTTTGATATCGTTTCAATTCGATGGGAATTGGTTTTGCGACGCTTCAACAGCGTGATCTGGATAGGTGCAGAGCGTGCCAAGGTAGAGTTAGTCAGGGATGGTATACACAGTTTGCATTGGGTGGCGTTGAACCGCATAGCCAAGGTGTTATGCAGCGGCAGGCAGAGTCATGAAGCGGAATCGCGACCTCGAAAAAGTGGTTTGTTCTTCTTAAAGATTTACGTAATATATCATGTTTGTCGCTAGTAATGTACAAAGACCTTACATGCAACGTATGATCGACACCTGCATGTAAGTGCCTACTATCCTCTCTATAGTCTCAACCCTGAGGAAACAACCATACTCTTCTAGTAGAAAGCTTCCGTGACTGTGTTCCTAGCTAGTGCTCTACACTTTTAAACCTGTCAATCTCTCGATGAGCACGTCGAACACCTTACTGCTGCAATCGACGACTTGTGCAATAGTGGCCCAGAACATTACCGCTGGAAGCATACCGATGACTGTGATGAAAGTAGGTCGTCTGGGGAAAACAGAGAGTTGCTGCTGCGTCGAAACGGACGTGGTATTCGACTCTTCGACACCCGCACCGTTCTCTCGATCCTGCTCGATGAAAAAAGGATTTCGGCGAGGTGGAGAGATCGAAGATTGCCAGCGTTTTATATGATTCCAACCCTCAAGCTCGGAGCCAGATCCATCAGGTGCCCTACGTAAAAATAGTTCTTCATCTTTTGCCTTCACCGGAGTCCCATACGTGATCAGGTCTCCTGCTGATCCGCCGTCCATGACCGTCTCTATAGGCGCAAGGTCCATGTCCCTGAATTTATCTAGCTCGGCCAAAGCTCTCTGCTCCGCTACTTCTTCTTTTTCAACTCTGGCCTCTCGCGCAAGCTCAGTGAGTTTTCTTTGGGGAGATGCGTGACCTTGATGTTCCGATGGCGAGATTTCGTCGCTTTCTTGTGCTTTGACGCAGCTGCGTGTGTGATCTACGGGCGAATCTGGGATGGAGTCGCAGGTTGCGAAGTCGACGTGCTTGCCATTAGGGGTCCGTACGACAGCGCAAGCAGGGGAAGAGAAGTTGACGGAGAAATTCGATGCTGGTGGCGTGTCTTCTAAGGCTTTGCGAACATTCTTGGGTGAAACGACCATTTGATGACAGTCTCTGGAAGCTTCGGAAGACTGCTGTATGGTTAGCGGAGGCTGTGTAGACTCACGTACATGATGCCTCACATCATACGAATTGGTGGCCATCTGTTGTCCTTCCACTCGATGCATCTCTTTATCTTTGTAGAGAGCTTTGAGGTCAAAGGTCTCCTCGATAGCTAGCCTGTGGTCTGATACGCCATCGATCGGCATATCAAAGTTGTAATCCCCGTCTGCGGCGGCTGCTTTCTGCACTCGTTTCTGTTGCCGACATTGCTCCTTCAAACTTCTCTCGATTGAAGCGCGACGGCGCTCCAGTTCTCTGGCCCCGTCGGAGGCTTGCTGATTGTGAGGATAGGATCTGCTGTAGTCGCAAACCGGCACAGACGATGCCATCTTGCCGGGCATGTTCATGATGTCCTCGATCGTATCTCTATCCCTCTCACCTGCTCCAAAAGCATCTTCGCCATCGCTCAGCTCCATACTGTCGTCTTCATCTTCGTAGCCGTCTTGTCGCTCGTCACCGTGAGCTGATTGGAGGTTTTTGCAGCTCATATTGTCCTCATAGCTTTTGCTGTTGGGAGTTTCAGTCAAAATTGACTGACTTGCTGGTCCATTGCTAAAGTACGGTGTTGGGGAAAGAGGTGAAGGGCTGCGCACGTCGTGCAGCATCCTCTGGAGGGTGCGACAGTCAGCTGGCGAGAAAGAAGGGCGCTGTGGATCAATGGACAGTAACGGTGATGGCATGCTGGTGTTGCCTTTGGATAGCGGACGTTCGTCTAGTGAGGTTGATGTTTGTGCAGTTGGCGTCAACGGTCTTGCAGAAACCGGTGAGCTCGAGTGATTCAGCAAGCTGTGATTCTGGGGTGACGACATGAATAGAGCATTGGGCGAAAGTGTCATTGGTTTATTGCAGTAGTCGCGATCGAACGAGGGGAACGAAGTTGACAGGGAAAGAAGTGCGATTGAGCAGGTAACACAAGCACCTACCCCAATTGGAGACGACAAACGACAAATGGAAGCATTGACTAAACAATGCACTGCAACAAGCACACCTGATGAAGACTATGCCGAACGATACAAGTCGCACACGAGAGCGCCACTATCAAGCTTAATACTCAACACCTTCCTCACCAACACGCACGCCTCTTAGAACATAGCCGTCTCTCTTAGCTTCGGCTGCCTCTCTTATGATCGTGTCTTCGATATCCTTACTTCGCACCTTCCATCTCACCCGGTACGGCTTCGCCATCGTAGTGCTTCCGACAGCGTCAAACGCTCCATCGCTAGTATCTACCTGCAGCTCATTCCCCTGTTGATCAAGCGGCGGCAAAATGTCGAAAGCCCATAGTAGCTTCGCCAATACGATGAACATACTATTCTCAGCTAGATGCACACCCGAGCAGATCCTGCGGCCCGCACCAAAAGCCCAGTGATCGCGACTCGCAGCTGGGCCAGCTGCGTAGTGTCCGCTGCCACGGGGGTAATTGATGTATCTCTCCGGATTAAAAAGTTGGGGATCCGCAAAATGATCTGGATTGTAGTGAATCGGGTATTGTTGGAGACACACGACTGACTTGGCAGGTATGTGAATGCCTTTGTAGGTTATGGGCGCGGTAGTATAGTGTGGCGTACCAATGTTTGTGACGGGGCGTAGACGTAGGGTTTCCTTGACGATGGCGCGGATGTAGGGAAGTCTTGACTCATCCTCGAACGTTGGGGATCGAGAGGACGAGGTAATTCCTCTTATTTCCTCGACTGCTCTTTGTCGTGCAAGTGGGTTTGCGCTGAGGTACAGAACGGCCGTATTGAGCGCCGCCGACGTCGTCTCGCTTCCAGCTTCGATCATGCTGCCAGCCAAGAATGCTGCCTGTAACTCACTGATACCCTGCTTTTCATAGTCGCTCTCGATGAATTGCTTTACGAAACATTCTGGGGCTTGTTTGGTCTCCATCTGAGTTTTAAGAGTACTCCAAAAGGACATCCATAGATTCGCTTGCTTATCAAAATATGGTTTCACTCCTTTACGCCACCATTGTAGTCGTGGTGGAAGGTTACCGAGGAACGGAAGCGTGTCTGCCAAGTAGGTACCTGGTTTTGCCATTGTAGAGAAATCGTTCATGATATCGTAGATGCCGTGAACTTCGTCGCAGTCCTAGTGCTGATTAGCAACCCATGTTTGTACTGTTGTATGTGTCACTCACCCATTCCGGTATCCTTCTCCCATATGTGCTCGTCATGATAACGCTTACAGTATATCGTCTGATCGCTTTGTAACTCACTTCATTTCCTTTCCCTGGGTCCGCACCCTTCAATATCTCTTCAAGCAACATCTTCGCCTCGAACTCCTGACTTGGTTTAAACGTCGCACTTACAGCTGGTGTCAACAGCTTATGGCTGATGCCTCTTAGCTTCCTCCATTCTGGACCGTACTCCATGAACAGGAACCTCATTCCGCCGCCTAGTGCATCCCCGGATACCGGCAATGGTGCTCGGGAGCTTGTATGCGCTGACTGCTTGTCTAGAATCTCTTTACACGCATCCGGCGAGCATATCATATACCAGTCGTTCCATCCCAAACGGATCTTATAGACTTCGCCATACTCGCGGGCCCAAGCGGTAATTTGCTGATGTGGTTGTTGGCCCAATTGATGTGCGTTTCCAATGACTGGAAGACCCGCAGGTCCGGGCGCGACTTTTGTTCCCGATGGTGCCTTATTCTTGTATCGCGTGTAAAGGATGAAGACTACGAAGAATAGTATGACCAGGACGATGGTATACATGTGGGGCTAGCTGAGGAGAGACAGTCTCAAGGTGTATTTGGAGGGAGACAACAAAATAGAAGTAGAATCATGCAGTACGTTTAATGAATCATCTTGAAGATTTGATATACGGGGGTATGTCCATGGAATATTGCCGCATCTTGAGGCGCGGCGCATTGAACGTGCCATCATGCAAGTTTCCCCACATGTTCGGTTGGATGAATCCTACGCTGCGCATGCTTAGTGCAGAAGAGGGGAATGCGGAGTAGGTGAGCTTACCTTGATCACGTATTGTACTTTACTCCAACGTCCGACGTATTCGGTCCGGGACAAGACATTGTTTCTGGCGTTGGGGAAGATGCAGGTGCTATAGCGCCCTCTTGCGCGCTGGCGCAGCTCCACCAAACACCCGCCCCCAGTACGACACGAAGTCTTTCCATTAGTGTTCGCTCAAAGACTTCTTAGCTACCTATCCAAGTCCTGACATTATTGTCTGTAGGTAATGACATGTTGTAGCGGTCTAGAGGGAAGCCTGTTGTTTGATCCTGCTCATGAAAGGAGTGCGACAGAGGCCGAACCAGCCTTGTTCAGGCGGCCATTTAGTCAGCCGTCGCTGTCGGCTCCTCCCAAACCACCGAGCGTGTCCACCTTACCAAAGAATCGCGATTCAGGCAAACAACAGGCTCAAACAGCGCGTCATGAACCTGTTTCTATTCGATCTATAAAAACTGCGTGCATAGTCTCATAGCTAACATTACAGAACATGCTTACCCGCCTCGCAGTTCGTACGCCGCTGCGCTTTCTTACATCCAGCCTATATCTGTCGAGTCTCCGCCCATCGAACTTCCGCCCATCGAGCCTTTCCACTACGTATCAGCGCACCATGTCTACGTCTACTTTCACGCTCGACCCTGCGATATTCAATCGATCATTATACAAGAAGATAACAGACTTGTGGTTTTCTGGCGTTGATACGACTGGTCAGAACTTTGACATGAGCGTTGCAAAACGCTGGTTCGCAAGCAGTCCTGAAGAGCGAGACGTCTTTGATGGACAATGTAGAAGCACATGCGTGAATGCGCTTGAAGCAATCGGACCAGACAAATTCCCAGAAGCGAGTGCGCAGCCATTTCTAGACGAGATTGCGCGCGTTGCGGAGGAGGAAAGCAAGGCAGATGCTGCGACAGGAGAGGAAGCTGCATGGACGGCACTGAGTTTCGCACTGCTGCTAGACCAAATGCCACGGAACATATACCGCACAGAAGACGGTTTGCGACTGGTGTACACGCATTACGATCGTATTGCTCATGCATTCACTCGCAACATTTTGTCGCACTCTTCGCCCATTCCCCGCCCAGATACACACCCAGTCATGCGTCTCTCTGCTGCGCACAGGACTTGGCTTTACATGCCTCTGATGCACTCTGAAGATCTATCTGCCCATGACCTCGCCGATGGGATCCTGACGGAGTTTTCTCGAGAACTCGAAGGTATAGATGGGTATAATGGCACGAAGATGTGGGTTGAGAACTACCAGAAGTCTGCGAAGGAACACAGGGACATACTGGAACGGTTTGGTAGGTATCCCCATCGGAACACTGCCTTGGGTAGGACTAGTACAGACGAAGAGCGTAGGTTTATTGAAGAAGGGGGAGCAACATTTGGTGTTGCACAGAATCAGAAGGGCGACACAGAGAAGGTAGATGCAGTATAAATTCGCAAAACAATGTCAATATTCCACTATACTTTCATATATCGGCAAGAACCTGCGTAGTAAGTATTATGCCGTGGCACTGCATTTGAAATGACTTGAGCGTAAGCATGCTGTCGTGCAACAAAGTCTGTTCATGGAGCATCAACATATACACTTGTCCACCCACCCATCTAAGCTACTGCAAAAAGAACATAACCACTTCCAGCATTCCTAGTGCTACCCAGTCGTCCACAAGAGCAAAAAATGGGGTCTTACCGCGACTCGAACGCGGGGCCTCTCGCAAGCTGTGCTTGGGTTTGTGTCATAAAAGGGCTCCCTAAGCGAGAATCATACCACTAGACTGGTTTTGGTTAGCTGGTGAATGAGCTGAATGAGTGGTTGTGACCACATACCCATAAGACCGAAGCACCTGAGTTGGCGTTGTTGTTGATGGAATATTTCTGGACTTTTCTATTCATATACTTATTCAAGATCCGATTATGAAATGGTGGGTCTGCAGGGAGGTCGAAGTGGCCTCCGTGGATACCACATCACGAATACGAATGATGTGGGGTAACTTGACTAGCTTGCAACAGCAGCCAATTACAATCCTCATACTCGTGCGCTCGATTCGACAAATGTTTGTTAAGATCTATGAGCATTCGAATAGTGCAGGTTGTAAGGCTGGCATGATAACGTTATATGACATTCTCTTTTTCGCCACCTCTGTAGTCCAAGCAGCATTGCTACGCTGGATCGGAGAAGCGTACAATCGACGATGCACTAGTCTAAAGATTTGCAGGAAATTTTGGAATTATCAGGAAGATTCTATACACCGACATCATGCTCGAATATGGCTGTTGAATCGACAACCATCATCAGTACGAACAAGGGTAGCAGAAAAGCTTCAGGTTGCGATTGTCGCGGCGGATGCGCTACCGCCAGGGTCGCGCCGCATCTCGCTTCGACATCATGGACGCGTCCCTCAATGTTGGCCAGCCTTGCATTACGCCTCTACTGTTTCCGCCAACTTTGACCTTGCAACGCCAAATTCCGATGGCTTTCGCGGTCGTACCTCCTCCTCTACACGTTTCGTAAAAGTAAAAATCCACAATGGTGCGATTGCTGGTTCCTGAAGGTGAGCACTTGGACCTCCCAGAGATACCTAGCTTCAGATCTGACAAGGACAGGCGAGGGACAACTGCCCTCCCTTCTCAAACCGCCTCCCGCCATTGCCACACAAAGCGACCTCATCGCAGCACCATGGAGAGGTTGTGTAGGCGCTGCGGTCGTTACTGGCAGCCTGGCTCTTGTCGGCCGCTCCCGACCTGGCGTGTTTCTCAAGTCCGCCGCCTTTATCAGCGCCGTAGACCTTACCTGGACAGCATCTGGGATATACGGGCGCCATGAATTGAATCGAGGTGTGTTCAATATGGAGAACATACAACCCAAGCCTGGCAAGCTATGGGAACAGACAAAGCATTGGACTTCTGAAGATATGGCATTGGTTGGTGGAGCACTAGGAATATTCATGGCATTGAATCCGCGGGCTTTGCCAGGTGCCTATGGTTTCTCACGATTCTTTGGAGCGGCTATGGTTGGATCTGCGCTTAACGTCAAGGTCAGCCAATCCGTGGATAGGCTCAAATATCCCCCAACACTCCTCCAGCTCTTCGATCAGACGGTTACTACGGCTCGACAAAAGGAATATGAAAAGCTACAGAACGACGAAAGGGCCAAGGCATCCCTCTCTCGAATCGGCAAACTCGCACTCTGGTACCACTCATCTTCGTTAATGGGAGTTCTCCGCAGCCCTCTGCAAATTGGGGCAATGGGTGACATGCCTGGTGGACCGATTCAAGTGGGGCATGGAGGGAGTTCCGGGCCTGGTGGTGGCTCATTGGCTGCACTAAAAGCTGAAATGGAGAGAGAAACTGTCATCCAGATCCAGTTTAAAGAAAACGAACTTGAAGGACCTGATGTGGAAAACGGATATCGTGCGTACAAGGACGATCTCAAGTCACGAGATGCGAGCAAAGTACAGGATTGGTTAGAGCAAGTCCAGGCTCTCAAAAAGCAGGTGGGCGCCGAGCTGCAATATGTTTGGCCGCACCTTGCGCAGAGAGAAGATGAGTTTTACCAACATGTGCAGGAAGACAGGGAGAAGGATATCATTCGTCGAGAACTACAGCTGCTCAACAACATGGCTTCTGATCTGGTAGTTCGGTATGCGGCCCTTGAGTATCATGAATACGATGCGCAAAAGCAACTACAACAGGTTACACAAGCAGGCTCCATGGGCACAGAGCTAGATGTAGTTTTCCAGGACGTCACAAAGTCGTACAAAACGCCCCAACATCCAGCTGAAGATATCCAAATGAGCTATCACGGTCCGAGAACTGTAACGGAACGAATACGCACAACCTGGTCAAGACAAAAGGAGTTACTACGCCATCTGGACCATAGTATCACCCGGGTTAGAGCCTTCGAGCCCGAGGAAGGGACTCATGTCGCTGAGCACGTCAAGCGTCTTGTGCAGGATGCCGAGATGATGGGACGGAACATCGAGGCCACTGAGCGATTGTTGCAATGGTTTGAGGAGCAAGTACGACAGGCTGATGAGGTAGGAAAAGACGATGCTCGTCGAGACGGAGCTTGACCGAGGTCCCTTGATTCCTGAGCGAGGACTTCCTTCGTTCTGCATGTCGCATGACGTTGCATGCTTCCAACAATCAACGTTACGATGGCTGAATCCTGTCAAGGCGCGCGCGTCGATAACATTCAGCTCTTCCGAGGTCATTTGAAGTCAGACACGCAGCATTTGCAGTACATAAGGTAAGTTGCCAGTACTACTTAGACGTGATATCAATCAAGCTAACAGAATGTTTTAGATGTAGAATGATATGAGCATATTAGCGAAGCATCGTCCCAATTCGATAACTGTCCTGCTTATGAAAACATCATAGGTAGGATGAATATGTATTGTGGAGAAGACAGGTGAAGAAATAGCCACACAGTATGCTCTAGATGGCTCAACCAATTAGCGAGCGCTCATGTTTGCTGGATTTTCGGATAGAGTTGTGAATCAATTGTTCGTGACCAGCTATGTACAAGATGGGTAGCGAACGAGCTTCGTGGTCCCATTTGATCGCTTTTTTAGCATCTGTTCCGCATTTGTGCCAGATGAGTGTCGGCGATGGATGACGTAACCGGTCGGGAGTGGACGCGGAAATCTTTCGCCGCTGCGCTTCTAGAAGAGTCACGACAACTGCCAAATTCGCTATCACCACCACCACTTTCCCGTACCGACTGCGTTCGTAAACACGCTCACAGACCCAAAGATGCGCTCACTACGTCCATCAGCAGCGCGCAGAATCCGCGCATCGCTTACTCCGGAAACAACGACACGGACATTCCGCGCACGACAGAGCCCAAGACCATGTCTCCTTTGCGCACACCGCATACCGACCCAGGCGATATCGCGCAGATTGCAGTCGACGTCTTCGTCGTCCAATACCGTCGAAAAGCCATTTGATACGCAGAGTGCCACAACACAATCGTCGCAGGTCCCGCAAACACACTATTCCTTCTTCCCGAATGCCCTTCCAGCCGGACCACCGCCAGACGGCCCCTTTGCTATCGATCTCTCTGCGCTCAAGAAAGAGTTTCTCCAACTCCAAGCCCGTGCCCACCCCGACCTCCATCCCCAGGCAGACAAGAAACGCGCCGAAGCCCTCTCAGCACGCATCAACGAGGCCTACAAAACACTCCAGAACCCGCTTCTGCGCGCGCAATACCTGCTGTCTCTGCGCGGAATAGAAGTAGCAGAAGACGAAACGGCCAAAGTGGATGACCCAGAGTTATTGATGGAGGTGCTCGAGGCGAGAGAGAACATAGAAGAGGCAGAGAGCGAAGAGGACTTAGTGGAGATGAGGGAGAGGAACGAGGAGAGAATAGCGGAGAGCACGGAGATAATCGACCAGGCGTTTAAGAGGGATGACCTAGAAGCTGCCAAGAGTGAAGCGGTCAAGTTGAGATATTGGGTCAACATCAAAGAGAGTATTGAGAACTGGGAAAAGGGGGTGCCGGTTGTGCTGCAGCATTAGGTGCATATCACAACTATCAGGACCGACTCAATGCCACAATCTCCACGCTCTGAACACGATTTATCCACCCTAAACGGGAACAGTAATGGGGTTCATCACCCCCGCTCCGCCATCGACCTTCAACTCCGCCCCAGTAATATAACTACTGAACCCACTCGCCAAGAATCCCACCGTCCTACCTACCTCCTCTGGCCTCCCTGCTCTCTCCAAACCAATCGTTCTCTTCTGGCTCTCCTCTCCCTGCAGTGCAGCGGGAGGAAACTGGCCCTGTGCCATCTCTTTGACACCACAATCCTTCAGATCGACGCCGACATCAATCTGCCCAGCCGTAATAGCATTGATCCGCACACCGGTTCCCTTGAGCACGAGCACACCAGAGCGTACAACACCAAGTGCAGCATGCGAAGCCATTGTAAAAGCAGGAGCCCAACACCCACCATACGTGCCCGCAACGCTGGTGACGACGATGATACTCCCATACGGAACGTCCTTTGGTGCAGCATTAGGATAACTCCCCTTGGGCGTTGTCTTTTGCATTGCAGCGGGCGCATACTTGAGCGCGAAGAAAGCAGGCATGGCATTTGTATCAAATGCTGCGTACAAGTCTTTCGGCCCTGTCTGGTTGATAGACGGGGGTCCTAGCAAACCGGTAGAAGATGTCCAAACATCGAGTCGGCCCCAGGAGTTTAGCACGTCATCAATCAGGGCGAGAGTATCTTCTTCCGAGTTGATTTTGTAAGGGTAGCCGATGACTTTTGTGTTTGGGTATTGCGCATTTATTGAGTCGGCGAGTTCGGTGTAGGTTTCTGAGGGGAGGCTAGAGCATGCATATATGCATGCTGCGCCGTGTGCTGCAAAGAGATGTTAGTGAGTGGCTGTAAGGTGGATATGGACGTGACTTGCCTGCAAGCTCAGCGACGATTGCTTTTCCCACGGGTTGGGTTGCTCCTGTAACTACGCATACGAAACCATACTAGATCACATGGCGACGTTAATCATCACTTCTTCCCATGTTGCCTATAGTCCTCAAGACTTGTGTCCAAATCTTGCCAAATCTCTTGCAACAAACCTGGGAACTTTTCTTGCAAAACATACCAGTTTTCCATCTGCTCTATACGGCGAAAAATGCTCCGAGTCCGTAATTCCAGCATCTCGTGTTCCATTCCCGTTCGCAGTGGCCATGTTTGCAAATATGCTCAAGGTGCCGTTGCGACAATTGATAATAAACAGAGTTCAGAGGGAGAAGAACAGAACGCGCACAGCAGCGCGTCTGCGAACCATCACATCATGTCATCAGATCAATTGCCAGCTACTTGCTTGGTTGGAAGGTATTATGTCAGGGTACATATCCACGGGGCGCGGAGATGCGAATTACATGTGCGATTGTTGGCTGAGATGGGGACCTTATCGGGACCTTATCGGGCTGCATGGTGGCTGCCGCGGGGCAGGGGAAGGGTCATGGTATCTATGTGCTTAGACGACTTGGATGGATATGCTTTCAATACAAAGCTCGAAACAAGCAGAAATTCGAATTTCATATAACAGGGTTTCAGAACTTGTCGTATCTAGTCTATCATCTAGTTCTGGTAACCAGAGAATACATCAACACTTCCGAGGATGACATGCTTCACGCCGTCTTCGCCTTGTCGTCTTCCTGGTTCTTCCTCAACTCCTCCCGCGGTGGCAGCACATCGGGCCCGAAGCTGAGCGGAAGCAGCTCGCCCATGGTTCTCACAATCCACTTGCCCTCCTTGTTGAACATGAAGATGGGTGTCTCGAGCTTCAAAAACTCTCGCAGGAACTGTCTGCACATTCCACACGGCGAGCAGAAGTCGTCAATGTCGGTCGTTACACCAACGGCTTTGAAGCTTCCGATGCGATGGCCTGCCATGACAGCTGTACCCATGGCTACGCGCTCCGCGCAAGTGCCGACAGGGTAGGACGCGTTTTCGACGTTTGCGCCGATTATAGTGTGGGCTGCAGATGTATCCGTCGCCGAAGATGTGGTAAGGAGGAGGGATGCGCCGACGCGGAAAAGGGAGTATGGGCCTGATCAAACATCCTGTCAGCATGGCATTCTATTGAGCATCTCTTCGATTACTACTGCCACATACAATAAGCTCTGGCCCTCGCATCAAAGCACTGTTCCCCCAACACCTGCAGCTCCTGCGCCGAAACGCCATGGATCAACCCATCTTGCTCTGTCACAGCTTCACCAGGGCTGAATTTTGGTATCGTGACTGTTGACATGGTGGAAAGAAGGGAAGAAGAGAAGAGGCGACGCGACGTGGGGGAGTTTTGCCAAACGTGATGACGCGGGCCGAGGCTTGCCGCAGGGTCCAAACTATGGCGACAAAGGAAGGTCCGGCCACCTCCGACAGCTCTCGTCAGATACAAACATACTACTGCTCAGCTCCTAGCCACTACCTGGGTTTGCTGAAAGATACCGTCTACGGACTAACAAACATGCATCTTGAATCGAGCAACCTCCCTATCTATGCCACGTCTCTCACTGCCGCGTCCCTCTCAGCGATACTAGAGTGGGATGAAGTTGATGGACCCAAGTTTCGCTTAGTAGAGCATCTTCAGACACCGAGTCGTCTACAAGTGATTAGAAGCTTGCATAGTGTTCTTGTTTGACAGTGTTGAGTTCAGCAGGTAACTGCCACAGAGAGCACACAGATGACGCTGTTGCTACTCAAACAAAGACATACACGTCGTTTACCTCAACAATGGAGCCTCAGCTCAGCTAGCTCACAACACCAGCTGTTTACTCTTCCAGTTAACCCATATAGTGCGCAACTCCGAAAACGGAGCGATGCTGGTTGTCGGCACTCCTCCGGAGGATCATTACAAGCAGCGTAATCCTTCCAGAGATCTCACTCAAAGCCAACACAATGGCTCATATCATCCCTTTCAGCGATTCGCACGTCGAGAACGAACGAACGGAACGCGATGCTGCATTTGTGATCCAGGAGAACCAAGAGATGAATCATGTCTCTGGGAATATTCCAATAAAGTCGCCAGTCAAAGAGCAACAGGAAGAAGGGGAAGGAGGAAACGAGTTAGAGCCTTACGAAACCATGCGCCACAAAGTTAAACAGCTCATGCTCGATCTCTTCCCTGATTACTGCGCCGATAACGTAAAGATATATCAGATGCGTGATGGTCGACATAACCGCATCGTCGGCGTCAGGCTCTGCAAAAAGCCGCCGGGAGCTCCTTGGTATTCGATTCAGGCTATACGTGAAATGATTCAGCCATGTCTTACAGGTCGAAAGAAATGTACAAGCCATTCAAGGCAATTCGTGTTGCGAATTCCGCGCGATCCTACTCAGAACATGCACCATCAAGTCACTACCCTAGCATACTTGGGCTACAAGCTTGGACATCCTGTCCCTAAAGTCATCGTTTTTGACGCAGGCGCAGAGAATGCTCTAGGCTACCCATACATGCTTCAGGAGTGGCTACCCGGCCAGCCTTTTAGCAACCTATGGCCCACACTGAACCAAGCACAGCAACTCAGCGCCGTCCGAGCTATCTCCAACATCATTCTAGATATAAGAAAGATCAAGAACAGGTGTCCTGGCCTCGTTAGCACCCGCAATACCACCTACGATCTCAAGCACGATATCATCAGTACTGAACCAATACCTGTCCCTCGCACCCGAGCTACTACTCATTCGACGGGCGTCAGCACCTCACTTTCCGAACCGCAGAGTACAAAAGATTTCTTGCTCAACCTCTGCACCCGTCAACGTGCGTATGCTATCGCGGCAAAACAGCCCGCTTGTGACGATCTCTGGGGTAGGATCATCAAGATGCTTGAGATACTACACGCTTTAGCTTTTATCCCTGATTCTTTGCCGTTCCATTTCTACCACGGCAATTTCAATCCGCGCAACCTCCTCGCTTCCATTACGTCGGAATCGACTGTGGAAATCACGGCTATCATGGATTGGGATCTGGCGCTCTTTGCGCCAGCTTTCCTGAGCACAAGCGCTCCGTCCTTCATGTGGAATGGTGAAGCATTGGTTGAACCAGAAGAAGCAGGATTGTTAGAAGCCAAGCGGACGTTCGAGAATGTTGTTGGTGAGAGCTTTTCGAAGGAGGCGTACTGTTCGGAACTGGTGCTTGCACGCCGGTTGTGGCCAATCCTGATTACGGGGTTTACAAATGGCAGAGACATTTTTCTCGTCGAGGAAGTTGTGAGGGAGTTTGAGAAGTTACATCCAATGACGTAGAGTAGGGTATGAGTAGTCGCGGATCTTACCAGTACGTCATCGATCTGTTTTGCAAGGCAGTGATTGCTGGTCCTGAGGATGTTATTCCACGTTCTCACGATACCAAGTCCTGCGGTAATTCGCTGTCGCCTTTGTGGTAGCACCAAAGAGGCTCCTATGGTATGAAGCTGCGCATCATCGGCTCCACCTCAAACTCGGGCATCTCGCCTGTTGTAGTCTTGCCTAATAATCATGACAGTCCTCGAGCGCATAGTGTTTCTACGTATAGAAGAAAGCAGGCTGTGTGATGCTTTATAGTTGTCAACCCGTAAGACAGTAGCCATGTGCAGCGCACAAATGTGATTCTGGTCATCACGTCTTGATTTGCCTTTGGGATTGGGAATGGGTTTTGACTGGCTAGCTTTGCAATTCCCAAGTATTGAATGATTTAATGTAACCCGGTTCGGCCTAATACGTCATGACGCGCCACTTTCGCGTTCCAGGGACGCGTATCTGGATGACAACTCCATCTCGACAAGCAAATTGAACGTTGGCTGCAAGTCTCACATATGCATACATTCATGTTTTGGAGACTGCAGTTTGTTCTATCAGCACGCAGAAAATGCGACTATCATGCTAGCGCCACTAATGCATCGTGCCCAGATAACCGCTCAAGCAGACACCGTCTGCGCATAGAAAGGATAGTCCGTGTACCCCTTTTGCGGTGGATCAGCGCCGTAAAATGTGTTGCGATCGTACTGATTTAGTTCCAGACCT